AGTGTGACTTCCTCCCAGACCCGTTTCTCCTGGGTACCTAACACCTGATTCTGAGGTAACAACCCATCCTTCCCCCTCTGCTCCCTTCCACTGCTCCAATCCCTTGCCTTCTTTAGAGCCTGGCTGGAAAACCCCCAGCTCTGGATCAACAAACTTCACTGTCCTCTGTTTATACACCAGGCCACACCCTGCAGATCAGGGTAACTATAAACTCATGGTCTCAGCTCTTTCAAACCATCTCTGCTCAACTCAAATACCATAAACTATAACCGTCTCCTTAACTCCAGGCAGAACACATCTACTTTGCCAATGGAAGTTAAGTCACTTCAGGGTAACTCCCTCAACTTCTCTTGTCCCACCTTAATCACCTTTTCTTCCAGTCCTTCACATCAAAGCCATGCCCCTCTCTTTGATGTCAATTTTTCCAAACTGAAGTCTGGAGGTGACTTTGGAAATGAGGAGACTTATCTAAACAGGTGGCCATTATAGTAGCACAAGTAAGAGGTAACAAGGTCAGAACTAAACTGTGGCTTCGGGAATATCGACATGTCCCCCACACCCCTACTGAAGTTTTGGAAACTAGCTAACCAGGACTACAAAGGCATACCTCAGAGACATTGTAAGTTCAGTTCCAGACCACTGTAATAAAGCAAATACCACAACAGAACAAGTCGTGACCTTTTTGCTGGTGGAGGATCTTGCCTTCAGTTTGTAAAAAAACGCAACACCTGTGAGGCACAACAAAGCAAAGCACAATACAACGAGGTGTGCCTGCAATTACATACAACCCCGAGCACACATGTGCATTCTTGAACAATTAGTAGCAGAGGGGCCTGTTCACAAAGATGGTTGAGAAATAGTAGAAAGAAGAAAACAGTGTAGAAAAATAATTTAACAGTTAAGGATCAATTCGATAGTGATCCTTACAACAGGATGAATGAAAGGTGAACCCAGAGGATGCGAGAAAAAAATAAGATGTCAATTTATATTTACACTCCATCTAAAAGGAGGAGCAGTAAATTAGGCTTCATGAACATTTACTACAGACTGACGCTGGTGCCTGTCCTTCAGTGACATCCACAGCGTCCTCTCATGCTCAGTATCCGAGGTGACATAAGAACAGTGGGTGTCCCAAAAGCTCCCAAACTCCAAGTTTGCTTTCAGCATGTACAGTAGACTGCAAATTATTTATGCCAACCTGGGTGAAATTACATATTTTATCTATTTTTCATTAAGCAACCTTTACAAAATGTGGTTTATATAGATCCCGGCGCATTTTTTAAAAAATCAACGTGGACTGAAGATACAATGAAAGAAACAACTAAGAAAATGGCAGAGATGACACTTCTGGAACAAGCCCTTCATCGGCCACATCATGAGTTCAACCAGGGTGGATCTAATCAGATTTGATAAGAATTTGGCCAAAAAACTCATCAAAGACTAAGAATAATATAGGAAATGTAGAAGCCACAGAACTTACATGTATGACACATGGACATACATATAAGTTCATGGACATGAAGTAAAGGGGGTAAATTTGGATGGGAGATGGTGTGCAGGGCAGATGGGAATAAAGGGGGGAATGGGACAACTGTAATAGCATAATCAATAAAATATATTAAAAAATAATCAAACCGATGAACTGCAAACCTAATTAGTAAAAAAGGGAAACAAACACATAATGTTAATGTGGAATGGAAAAACCATCAAAACAGGAAATTTTTAAAAAACCATTAAGAGGCTCCTTTGCACAACTCTATGTAAATGTATTTGAAAATCTTGATGAAATAAATACATTTCTAGAAAAAAAATACGTATGTATACCTATGTCAATGTTGTTAAAGATAAATTTCACTCCAAGATTATACTGAGCCTTGAGAAACTGGTTAATAATAAATATGTGCAAATAATAATGTCAAAGAAATTAATGTACATTCATTGGAAGTGTTTGCTCAAAAAACTTTTATTGATGGAAATACACCACCAGAGAAGACTAACACCACTGGCAGAGAAGGTGGATTCTAAGACAGTGTCATCAGACACAATAGCTTGGGCATTTGCAAATGTATTGTTGCATGGCACCAGACCACCCATTTCACAATAAAGCACATGCGTTTCAAAACACTTTGTTAAAAGGAGAAAACAACTGCAGCTCATTACAATTTTTATTGTTGCAAATATTTACAAGTTTTAAAATGATCAAAATAAGGAAAACAACATCCTTTCCCAAACTCTCTTCATTCCCACAGGTCAACCTCCCTCCCGCCAACCGGGCACTTCCAAGGCCCTTCCACCAAGATTTGCTACTGAAGGAACCAGACCTGAGATCTGGCCAAGCCCCTCTACTTCTGCACTGCTATAAAAAAACAATACCCTATTATTTGAAAAGGAGGTAGCAATACATAAGAATTAGTAGTTTTGGTTTTTAAGACACAAAAGTCTACTCCGTGATCCCGATTTTCTAATGATTAATAACTGTTAATTAAACAAAGAGACCCTTAGGCCAAGGTGGAGCTAATGCTGTGGCTGCTTAGGTAAGCAAACCCAAATTTAAGCCTGTAAATGCCTCAAGGTTAGGAAATCAAAACGCTAAAGGCAAACTTCCAAAGCAGCCAACTAGGCTTTAAGCTGTGGCCGGTAAGTAAATTCCACCATGAAGGTCTCCCCCCAGCTCCTGTTGGGGAAGGGGAGCCCTCCTAACCACTTCCGGTTTGGCACTTCCAGATTCAAATTGATTTCTGCCCAAACTCTGACAAACTTTAATATGTTTATGTTTTGAAAGTTCTGGTGTCTGAAGAGGAAACCAAAGGGTTCCCCTGTCTGCGCCCCCGCAGCTAGGAGGAACCAGCAAAGGTACCTGCTGGGCTATGGGAGCACCTGCTTCTGGAGCTGCCTCTGGAGGGGACGCCTAAGTCTCCTGATCCCTGGTCCGCAGCCTTTGCATTTTTGCGATTTCAGGCTTAATTGGAGCATTTCTCTTTCTGTCTGCCTCGGAAAACCAGCTGGGGTCGGACAGGTCTGGGGGTGGGCAGGGTCCCACATAGAAACCAGGATGGGGTCAGTGTGAGGCCTCAGGTGAACAATACTTTGTTTCAAAGCTAAACAAGCAGGCTAACCTTACCAAAGATCATCTTGAATTACCATGGCCACACTGGAGAACTTTTAACCCGAAACTGTTCCTTAAATGAGAAGGCCATTACACAGAGGTGGCTCCAACGCCATGGTGGACTGTAGTCTATGTAAGCAAACCTAAAGCTAAGCCTGTAAATTCCTCAAGGTCACAAAATCAAACCGCTAAGGACAAACATGCACAGCCAGCCAACTAGGCTTTAAAGCTGTAGCCCACCTGTAATTTCCTTACTTTGCTTCTGCATTTTCTTTGTGCAATTCTGTTTCTGAGCTCCCCTTAGTGGAGCCCTCCTAAGCACTTCTGGTTTGGCGCTACCAATTCCAGTTGTTTTGCTCAAATAAAGTCTTAAAAATTTTAATATGCCTAAATTTCTCTCTTAACAGAACCAATCTTTACATTAAGATATTTAGAGCTGAGATTCATTCCAATGTCTTTTTTTTTTTTTAAGGCAGGCAGGAAGGAAAAAGAAAACAAAAAGAAAAGGTAAAGGGCAGAAATGCGTTTAGGAGAAGCAGAGGTGTGCCTGCTGTATTCACTGAAACTAGGGGACTTTTCTGAAGTCGCCTGAGGCTCCAGGATTAGTTCAAGATGAAACAGTATGAGTGAGGCATCAGAGTTTGAAAAGCTACCCCTGAGGGCAACTGCTGATAACTAGGAGCAGTTCCTTAAGATTTCTCTGAAATATTTTAAACCACTTATTTTTCTCCAACAGGTTATTTTATTACTTAAAAAAAGCAAAACCCCTAGGTCTTTAACAGGGGTGGCATTCAAAAGGGCTGAGATAAAATCATTCCCTTAAATTTGTCTTTGAAGTAGAAACAGGATCCCATGCAAAGCACCAAAGGAGTAACAACAATTTCAGCTGCCTTCTTGGGTGACATGCTTACACTCAAATGCATGCATCATAGCATGTGATCTCTTAGGTTAGAATTACCCTTTCCATCAAGGCTACCACCTGAGACCGATGCTTTCAGAGAGAAGGAATTACTATCACTTAAAAGTGGCACCTAATTTCTGTTAGTGGGAATTCCAGTCTCTTCTGCCTTGGCCTCCATGAAAAGGCCACACGGGGAACACACAGTACTTCCTCTTGAACCTGAACACCACCGCTACCATTTGCTGAAATAAACTTACAAATTTATAGGGAAAGTCATGACCTGTCATGCCCAAAGTAACAATCTGCCATACTTGTAATTATATTTGATACCATTTTTATATTTAGGAAAATTCTATCATTGTCTTTTAAAGGTCCATAGGCTAGAAGACTATTACTATATTACTGTCATAAAATCAGCCACCTTGTCACATATCTCCTGGTTTCAGTTTATGTTTTTTGGTGATTTATTTGTTCATTAACTCTTTCCCCCGTGAATGTAAGAGGGCTGGGGGCCCTGCAGCCTCAAGGTCACCGACTGGCTGGCACACGGTTGGCACTTATTAAATATATTTGTAGAATTAGTGGGTAATGCAATTTTATTATATATTTCTTATAATATCATATCCCTGCAATTGATGTCCCCTGAGCTTAGCCTGTTACATTGTTAGTAAAAATACATCATACACATAAGCTTTAATTTAAACAAACAAAATAACAAACAAAAAAAGTTCAATTTAAATAATCAGGTATTCCATATGTTTAAGTGAATACGTTTTATTAAATGCATACTAGTATCTTTCTATAGTGAGTATACATAATAAGTTAAAATGTATATATTTATTAAATATAGATATAATACCAGAACATGATTATTTCAGATGAGAAATCAAAATAAACCCATTTTTAAGTATTTTTTGGTCACTCCAAATTGATATTGCTCATAAAAAAATACACTGATTTTTCCCTGGGGAAAAAAAATTAATTCCATAGCAATGTAGTTAAGGGACATGTTTTATTTCATAGCTTTCTGCAAGCAAAATTGCTCTGATACAAAATGAGTTTGATGATACAGGTGCTACTGTCCACTCAAGCAAAAGAAAACCTCACATTTATATGAATGCACTTTATAATTATATTCTTACAGTATAATAGGTCTAACATTCAGGACACCTCTGGCCTCATGTGAAGCAATGGCAAAGCAATGGTGTAAGGTTCTTGAACATCAGAGCACCGGCAAGTGCTTACTGCGACTACCTGGGAGCTCTCTGTCACACACAGCTTGAGGAACTGTGCAGGTGTGTTTATCTTTTTGCCTCCCAGATTTTGGTTTATATTTAAGTCATATCAAAATACATCCCTTGTGTGTGTCTGTCTGCATTTCAAAGTGTCCACGAGAGCAAGAGAAAGTCATGAGGTATCCTTAACGTTAGTTACTGATGGAGGGCTGTGGCTTACATCAGAGGGTGTGGACTTACCTGCAGGTACAGGAATTGATTTTAGTGTGTACTCGAGACGCACAGTGCAGAAATGTTAGTGCATGTTAAACTCTATCCTCCCCCTCACACATGACGTGACTTTAACCCCAGAGTATCTGACAAAAAAATTATACAGATAAAATAAAAAGACAAATACACAAATAAGGCCATCTGCAGAATTTTAAACTCACCTCTTGCAATATTTCACAATAATTTCTACATCGTATTTTACATCTTTCAAACTTAAATAATAAATGCTCAAGGAAGGGCCTTGGTGGAACCAATTGCACTATCTCTTTGAGGATTTGTCCAATTTACTGGCAGGTGACTTCCTCTGGGGTGTGGGGATTTTGGAAGGCTTGGCTGTGGATGGCCGAGAACTTGCTCGGGGCGAAGGCCTGTGTGTCTGGGGGACAGTCTCCACGTCTGAGCACACGGACTGGATTTCTGAAATGTCAAAGTCTGACGCGTCACTGCCACGGCGGCTGCTGGCCCTGCTCCCGGCCTTGCTTCCAGCTCGGCTGCCTGGTCGGCTGGGAGTCTTCTTGGGATCTGAGGAGAAAGGGCAGAGGTGGGTCACCCTTATCACTGGGTGCATTTGCACCAGACTCCTGCAACCTAATGCCCCCTTGGTCTCAGTGACTTCTCTTGACATTGTGTAGGCACTCAGAAAATACTGTGGATTCGTGGCCTCTCTCCATTCCACAAGGGTAGGGCAGCCTCACTCTAAGTAGATGCAATATAGAAAAAGCTAGGTTTACAAACGAAATTGAGGTGTGGGCTTACCATGATTAAAACAGGATTCCATTTATTACAAACAGATATAAGGAAACAGCTATAACTAAAGGCTGTCCTTTCCAAAGTTTAGTGTGTAAACCCAGATGTGTGCAGTGCAAAATGAAACAAACTCTTAGGTGCAAGTTTAGCCCAAGGAGAAGCCATTGAAAGCACACAGGAATTTAAAAGACTTGAAACTTTAAAGACGCTTCATGCTTGCTGAGCTCAGAACCCCAGGTTCTGGGGTTTATGTGAGAAATATGAGAAATGCTGGTTTAAGGTCCATAGTGGTTGGGTTTTTCCAGCCACCCAAAATAAAGCCCAGTACATTTTCCAAGCAGACAGAAGAACCAAGATTTTGCAGCTAAAAAAAGGCGTAGGACACTCTCATAGTTTTTCTCCTGTTCTCATCTTTCTCTGGTACTTTCCAAATGGGATTTTCTAATTATTTACCCCATGACTCACTTATCCCCTACCTTGGTCGGAAGGCTGAGGCTTTGTGTCATTTCAAAAGAATACAGTACAGCATCAGCAACTCGTAATTTCTTCCCAGCGAGGAGGTAAGAAAGGGGACTTTCATCTTCAGAACATACTGCGAAAGCCATTAAAGAAGGAAATATACCACACTCACCAGCAAACTGTGTTCGGACTCGGGCGGCTGCAGTTGTTATCAAGCCACTGTCTTCCCCGGAGTGGAAGCCTTTCCCTGACAAATATCCCGGAAGTCGAAGCTTGCTGCCTTGTATAGGTGTTCCCTGTATTCAACCAGCGAAAGGACATTTCGAGATATTGCTCGTGTTCTGTGACATAACACCAAATACACTTTACAGGCAGCTACAAACCCTCTACTAGACCTCTTCAATGAGGCATGGGGTTCCACTTGCTTGTCTCCACTGATTTCTTACACTCTCCCTGAATTCAAAGGGCACTTCCAAAGAAAATGGATTCATGTTGAAGAGAAACACAAAAACAGAGATTCCCAAAGGATGGCAAGGAACAAAAGACAAATTAAACTGTGAGTATTTGAGTGTCTTCCAGTCTGTTAGTACATGCCACAGAGTTAAAGAGAAGATTCATACAACGGTGTGGGCTGCCTGGCGCAGAGAGAAGGTGGGGCCCTGAGAAACTGTGCTCGGGTGTTCTGCTGCAGCACAGCCTGTAGGAAATCAGGCAAAACTAAATTGGCAGAAATGGAACGATAAGTGAGCAAAGCCCACCGAGCCATAATTTAAACACATTAACTGCAAGAAAAGTGACGTTTTGTAACTTGCTACAATGCCACTTTGACTCTTGGCTCTATTGCTTTCTCTGGTCCACGCACAGAAGATACCTAGGCAACATTTGGGGACAAGTCTTTTAAAATTCCCTACAGGAGTTCACAGAGACTGTCTAAGGCAATCACAACTATGAAATTTTATTGTAAGTCTAAAACCACAGCATTTTTTATAGCTCACTACAACATTTTGAGAATTCTCCCAAAGTTAAAAACAACAACAACGAAGACGACAAATTCCTAAGAAGTGTAGGGATTCTCCTAAAGTCACAGGGAGTTATCTGGAAGAAATTAAATTATGTGTATTAACAAAATTAATTGTTCCTTTATTAAGTAGTTTTAAATGTTTAATAAAGCATATGTAAGACCTTTTGATACAGCAGGGTTACAAATCTGTAACATTAACATAATATCCATAATTCACTTATGTAAGTATTCTATACATATATTTCAATATAGAATTTATATATTTGCATGCATATTGTATACTTAAGTTTTCAAAGCATGTTCACATGTATGCCCACAACTAATCTCCCCGCTCACCTCATCACAACTTTTTGACAACTGTGAAAAATGAGGCCTGAGGAAGGAAGTGGTTTTCCTGAGATCTGACTACTCCCATATAGTTAAACTCCTAAGAATCTCAAGAATCCATGAGACAGTGAGGACCCACAGCTATGAAATATCACTCCAGGTAGCAGAATTCATTACCATGAACAACCCGAATCATTCTGCTCAGAACACCTTGGTTGCTTTGATTTTCCTGTTACAAGCCCTACCTTTAAAGACCCTTCTATAAAAGCACACTGCTGTTGCATTGGTTGGTTTGTTTTTCTCGGATTAGGCTACTTGAAATAAAACACAGTTTTCTACTGCTCAAAATAGCACACTTAGACTTTAATTTTAGGGACTCTCTACTTTCTAAAAATTTGAACATAGCAGCTCTAAATATTTTCAAAAATCATGTTGTTTGAGGTTCCTCAAACTGTTCCCAGTTTTTGCCACAACAGACCCAGCACGAGTGGCAGACATCTCTAGATGTAATGTGTGACAGCCACATTCCTCAGTTGAGGGGCGCGGTGGACATGAGGGGCTGGGGGGGGTGGGTAGGAAGGGTGAAGAATGATTGATTCTGTCCCATTTCAACCCCTATCATTAATGCTATTTCCACCTGAGGCACAAGGGTAATAAAATTTTCTCTGCCTGCCTATTATCACTGGTGCAAGGCTTAAATGCCAGGGAAGAAGATGTTACGAAAAGCACAGAGGGCTTTGTAAAGCCACTTACACTTTTATACCTGGATCCTGGCCTTGAACATGAAATACCTCCTTTAATTCAAGAGAAGCTATTTAGGGATTCCCCCCTTAATTACTGTGATTCTTGTCGATCAAACGTGCTTAATTGGTGCCTGTGTTTGTCATTTTACAGAGAATTTCCTTTAGGTTGACTTCCAATTGAATGCAAATGACTTATGTGTCAACCTTGGCAAATTTTACATCACCTAAATATCCCATCCCCATATATCATGCCTTATTAAAAGAGAGAGCTTGCTTGAGTGAAAATAACCATTAAAGTCTAGTAAATACACATACCATTTGAAAATGGTACATAACTCTTTACATACCTAAGCTTCCAATTCCCTCTAATGATTAAAGGCTTACTGTTCTTGGGCAGAAATAAATGTAACAGACATTCAGAAAGACCTTGGCTATAGTGAACACTCAATAAAACTTCTTTTAATTGAAGTGGTTTCTCTTGCAAATGACACTGCCTCTCATTCTCACCTAAAGGGGGTTGGTAGTGCTTCTTATGTTTAGAAGCAAGAGCATACCATCTGCGCTAAAAGAAACTTTACTTCAGTCTGGATACAATCTCCTGTATTTTACTTTCCCACGACAGAAAAGCAATATTAAGTATGAGTAAGACGACAAAAAAACAAAGGAGGTGCAGCGCTCGCAGGTGTGACTATGTGAAGCTGACCTTGTTAAAGGAGCAAAAACTGTCTTTCCTGTTAACCAGTTACTCTCACGCCTTCCAAGAATTGCTGGGTTGATAATTATTTTATAGAAGTCAATTAAAACAATGTAGCATTATCTAAAGCATATATATTAAGGGAGAGGGAAAGCAATGTTAGTGGGTGATAGTTTCAATTAAAGAAGGCTGTTAGACTGGAAGCTGGGGCCTTACGATACCTCTGCAGATGGCACGGAAAAGTCTGAGCACTCTGCTGGCTTACAAGGAGTTGACATTTTGCTGTTTGTCAACCATGGTTTACCGTAATTGCGTGTTAAAGGATGGAGAATCTGTATGGAACAATGGCAAATCAAATGTAAAGGAGAGCAGATCAAAAAGGAAGCCACAGAAAAAGATACTCATCAGCAAGACTCACATTTCAAAGTAAGAATAACAATAATTAAAAATACATGAAAAGATCTGATGGCAAATCATACACACCAAAAAATGAATGAAGCTTTACAAAGAAAAAACAATCTGGAAGGTAACCAAAGCAGCACTTACAGAGACAGTCTTTTTAGAGGCTATAAGGCAAAAACATATATTAAAAAAAAATCCTTCATTTGCCATATTGTGAGAAGAAACACAAATGGAGAAAGCTCACAAATTCTAGGGTCCTAAAGCACTCAGAAGTATACTCAAGACTTTGACTGCATGGGGGGAGGAAAACATTTCCTCCCCAAGTCTTACCTTGGGTGTGCTGGTGGCAGGGACCTGTGGAGAGGCCGCCTGGCCAGCCTGACTGGATACGGATGTGGACCGGTTGGGCGAAGCTCCTCTCGATGAAGGCCGTGATCTTCGGCCCCGGGGTCGGAAAGCAGCCATACCCTGACTGGCACCATCTGCCAAGATGAACTTCTCCCGAAGTTCCATGTTCGTCCTTCCTTTAGCTGGATCACGTAACAGACAATAGTGCACACAAATAGAAGAAGAAGAAAAAAGAGGCGCTCAATCCTTCATGGGACGAACAACCACCTGGCGTCATACACGTCACGCTGAAGATTTAAAGTACATCTTTTTGCCATGCCAACCCCAACTCAGCACAACAAAAAGGTAAATGCATTCCTTTACAATGCATTCCTTTTGGATACAAGTAAATTTGGGAAAGAAAAAAAAAGTGTTTATTCTAACACTAGACACCAGCCAGAATAACCACTAGTAAAGAAAGAATCAGCATGAAAATGGAAAGCTCATGCTAAAATATTGTTAATCCACCAGCTACTGATGCCCACATGGGTTCGCTACCCTTTCCGCACACTGAGGAGACAAGCCAGGGAAGCAGGGACTGTGTCTTTTGCATGTACTGCTAAGGTCAGGAGAATGCCAGCATTTTAATAACATTGGGATTAAATAAACAATAGAATTACACAGAATGACAGATGGCTTGTTAATCATGATGACAACATATAAACTTTCAAGTTTTTCTTTAAAGGAGGAGGCTAGTAGTTTTATTTTATGCCTTAAAAAGCTCTGTTTTACCAACATGCAATAACAAACACCAGACCCAAGGATCCGTGAGGTAATCAGTGCTGCAACACTCGTACAAACACATGTGCACACGGAGAACACGCCACAGAACCCAACGAGCAACGTGTAAGCATGTGTTTGATCACTTACACAGCACCTACGTTTGCAACACACCACAAGTGTGTGAAACTGTCAGAATTTACACTTGGAAGCACCAGCTCAGTTGGATGTGACTTAAGCCATACGCAATGGATGAAGCGTGTTATTTTCAAACAAATAATTAAAGCGAGAATGTAAAAGTAGGAAAGAGCAAAGATAAGAGAGGAGAGGCAAAGAGAGGGGTTGCCAACCTATAGTAGGCTGAGTAGTAGTAATTGAAGAGTTTGATTCCGAACGTAACATTTTACTCCCATGATGATGAACTAGAAAAAATGACACAGGATACCGATCACATTAAAGAACACTGTTAGCAGGAGAAGAAACAAAGTACAGTAGTTGAATACGCAAAGGGTGCTCACATCCGGCCTGGAGCGCACAATTTAGAAGAATTGCATTAGGACAAGCATTCGAAGGTTGGACTCAAGAAGAAAAGTGTACTTGGAAGGTGCTGCCACAGTCACGCTAACTTTGCTAAGCAAACTAACAGAACACTACATGTTCTAATTTCTTTGTTTCATAGACAGAGCTACGTTACCTTAGGCTGCATTATTTTTAAAGTATAAAATAAAAAGGGTGCTTTTGTTATTTCACTGTCATTTGTGGTTGTATCTTTGACTTGTAGAGCACAGCTCCTAAGTGTGGCTGTGTAGCAATCCCCTGCGGCCTTATCAGAGAGGCTGCTAAGCACACAGGAACTCACTCCACTATACCACCTGTGTATTCAAATGCCAGCATTGACCCCTGGCTGGTGTGGCTCAGAGGACTGAGTACTGGCCTGTTAATCTCAAGGTCACAGGTTTGATCCCCAGTCAGAGCACATGCCTGGGTCGCAGGCCAGGTCCCCAGTTGGGGGCTCTCTTACATGTGGATGCTTCTCTCCCTCTCTTCCTCCTTCCTTTCCCTTCTCTCTAAAAATAAGTAAGCAAAATCTTTAAAAAACAAAACAAACAAACAGAAGATAACAGATGCCAGCACCGAAAGAAAAGAGGCCCAGGGAGGACTTCCTAGTTGGGAGCCTAATAGTGCCGGCACAGACATTTTTTATTGTTTATTTGTTTAAAAGGATTAAAATGAGTTCACAGGTTTAAGAAAAGCTGGGTTTTTTTTTTTCAGAGAAAAATGGGCCTATTCTATAAATGAGACTAAGACCATGTATAAAGTAAATCAATTAAAAATTCAAAAATTGATAAGAGGATCTGAAAAAAATAAGGAAAATTAAAAGCTAACCAAAAGCTCTTAGGCTGTAGACATGGTGAGAACAATTATAGTCTATGTTTATATCTTTAATGTTCTAATCTGCCACCTTAAAGTAAGAGTAAAGTTAGCAGTTCTTATTTTTTTAACCTTTAAGTATTACTTTCCTCACCATCCACTAATTTCATAAAAACTTTCACTTTAAACTTTTACTATCCAATATCTTCAGTCTTCATCCCCTCAACTTTCTTTCCTCCTACTTTGCTATTTAATGACAGATGAAATCCTTTCCCTGGTGGGTGTCACTGCTCATTTTGAAAACTGCAGATGGGATCATCTCATAAAGAAGATCAAGTCTAGTATTTCTTGCCTACCAGTGTCATGTTTATCCAGAGAAGTAAAAACAGCAATGAGAAGAACATGTTTTATATGGCTGACACAAGTTCTCTGGAACTTTCAGGCTGACGGGCCAATGTGAAACACTCACTATATCGTAATAAATGACCAAAATTGTATCCAAGTATGTCATTGATGCTGGAGACGAATACAAACTTGATGTATTTTTATGGTGTTATCATCTTGACATAAGTATCTCCTTACCCCTGCAAGGATCATTTTTCACTAAGAACTCATCAAGTGCCATCCATCCACCTCCAACACGAACCATCACGGTACTTCGCAGGATCCGAACGAGTCGCAGTTGCTGGGAGTCTCCAAACTGTGAAGATGAAGAAAGAAAGAACCTCTAATTGTCAACAGTCATTCTAAACTAAAGGATGGTGGGTAATCTGCAGTAGCTTAAGCAACCCACTTGAATGTTTTGCTTAGTTCACAGCGATTAGTAAAATCTCAGAAAAAGGGGTTTGTAATGATCTGTGTTAGACTGCTGCATGCTGATTTAGCCCAAAGGAAATAGTTTGAAAAATGATAACAAAGGTTATCAAGTATAATATGAAAGATTTCTTCTAAAAATGAATTTTCTCTCTCAGGACAGATACAACATTAGTAAGGCAGTGATTAAAAATGTTTCTAGAAATTTAAAAAAGCCATGAAAATAAGCACTGGCCCACTTGCCCAGGGTTTATACAAAATAAAATGATTCTAAAGAAGATTTAAGAAACTCTGATTTTTCTTCATTAAACCTTCCTTTTACACTAAAACTTTTTCATTGAAATCTGTGAAGGGGTCTTCATAAACTCTCAAGGAGATAAAGTAGTAAATGAACATGACCAATAAAAATTTCACAGTCAAATAAAATTTCTGCATCACTAATGATGTGGTAAACCAATTTGTTACAGACTAGATTAATGTGCCAATTTATATTGCTGTAATATTAGAACAGTCTCTGGCACATTAATGACACAGCTTTCAAATCAAAAAGGCTTTCTCTTAAAGCTGTTTGTGCCGTAACCACGGACAGTAATAAGCAATCAGTTTTCCCTTGCCCTTTCAATGGGTCTCCAATCACTTGGAAATGCTATAAATTCTGCAAGTCCGGAATAAATGTCTAGACTATATGGAGTTTCTCGTCATAAGGTTTATTTGTTTTGAAAGCCCATGAGAAATAATTTCATACTTTTACATCATTTCTAATAGGCTCATGTCCAACTCATAAAAAGCACCATATTGAATTTCATGGCTGCCAACCCAGCAGATACCATAGCAAAATGAACAGTCAATTAAACAAAAATAGCTTTTTTTTTTTTTTTAGGGGAAGTGAAATACTATTATGACTTTGACTATTTGTCTGGGCTCATGATAGATAAAAACAGAAAAAAAATTAAGTAGAAACAATCTGCTCCTTTTCAATAAGCTTTATCACTGAGTTTCAGGAGGCGAACCCCAGCACAAAGCCCACATTCAAGACCCTGAAACTCAGAAGAACCTGTAAAGCACGGAAAAGGCACCGGCCGCAACCCATGCGTTTTACATTGAACCTTTTACACTGCTATTTCTAAGTCCATTTTTTAGCCTTGACATTTAAGCTTGCCTACAATTGAACCTGTTCCTGAAATGTAATCAAAGTGTGAAAATCAAAATATATTTTGTTAGAAAAAATTTGGTGCTGCTAATAAGCAAAGGGAAAGGAGGGGATTTAAAGAAAATTACCCTTAAGTAACCAGATAATTAGACCCGACACTTTTGGTCCAAGATGACATTCAAAACAAAAGTTTTAAGGAACTAACTGAAGTACTTTATAGAGATGAAATTTCAATTCCAATAAATAGGAATGATTTTAGAATTTATTTTGAGAAGGCATTATCTAGACAACTAAGATTATCTTCAGAACTTCCCTAATTTTCCCAAGAGCCAAATTGTGAGACAAGAAAAAATATGCTAATTTTGTTCTTTGTGCTTTCGATGAAGAAAACTCTTTGAGGTATTTCATCCTTTCTAAAAATAAAAGATACTACACCTCAAATGCTATCCCAAATAATGTATTATAAGAAACAGAAGTTTTAAAAACAACTCTCCCAAGTAGCTGATCTACTTGAAACAATTATGTGATGGAATAAATGGGTATCATAGCTAATCTGAGGATTAAGATGCAATATGGGCTTAAAAACTGAGAGGCAGAGTAATAACCAAGATGATGTGGTCAGGTACTATGCATAGCACAGTTCTTTCTAAAAGCACACAGTAAATAACTCTTCTCCTTTAAATCAAAATATGATTGCTCTTATCTTTAGATCTAAAATTCTGATCATATGCAGAGCCACTGAACCATTTATACTGACTTAAATGTGAGGTCAAATGGCATAAAATATGACTGTAAGACTTTGTAAGTTACAGGAGATACATTTCCTCAAAAGGAATTACAATATTAAAAACTTCCAGGGTAAAATTTTCTACCTACAGGATGCAAAGTCCTACATTAATGATTTAGAACAAATGGACCATAGCTCCTTTGGAGAGAGCACGTTCCTTGAGGCCGAGTACCATGGAGACCTCGTGCCACGGAGACTTCTCAGGACTCTGTCTTTGTGTCCCTATCTCATGCGATGCTCCTCTAGCTTCTGCCTACCACACGTCCTCGGTGGAGAACACAAGAGAAGCCATGTGCAGATGTGTGTTCCAACGAGTACTGGAATAAAATATATGCTAATAGTATTTATCAAAAATGGGAACTGAAAATTGTACTTGTAATGCTGTAACCAGCCAAGCTACAATTCATTATCTGGTTTGCTTAAAAGTAATCTCCTCATTTGAGACACAAGGCGAAAAGGAGTCCTGGATCAAGGACCCTTACAGCGTCTACAGAAACACCACGCCAACCAACAGTGTAGTAGCTAGGGGGCAGCACGGGGAAGATTGGCCATGGCAAGCTTTAATGACTATGAATTAAAGTTAAAAAAAAAAAAATCATTGGGAACTTGAAAATACATTCCACTGAATTATACCTGATTTCCCAGGAAGAACTGATAAAAAAATGAAAAATGGAAGAAAGATATAATTAGTTCAACAGGAAACTTTCTACATGGCTCTAGAATACACACACACTTCACACTCAGGGCTCCCAGATACTGCATCTAGTTCAGAGGTGTGCAGGCAGCTACCTGCGCACACAACAATCAGAGCATTTTCTATGCATTTTTTTTTCTTGAAAATCCTTGGGTTTCAAAATTAAGTTAAAAATTCAGATATTTAGATGACCATTTTAAAATGTGGAAATATAAAAATAAAAAATGAATAATGTTTCATTTTTAAGTAATAGACTATATTAGGGACATTCAGTACATTTCCTATCTGGTTACTACATGTAAGAGATGTTCCAACATGGAGAAAGAGTGATGAAGTCACACTCATCTTCAAGTAATTGTTTTGAGGAAGGAGAACCAAGTTATCAAGACTTTGAATAAAAGGAAAAATTACAGCATAAGTGGAAAACACTGCCTCTTTTTCATTTTATAAGAATGAGTCAACATTTTAAACTTTGTGATTCTGGCTTGGAATAGCTTTGTTATTGGAAATATGAAAACTTACCTCTCATCATTATAAAATATATTACAAAGTAGTGTGAAGCAACGTAAATATAAGAAATATGTTTTTCTGTGAGTATTTTTCTTTTGAAAAGCAATGTACATGTCAAAGATACATCCTTACATACAAAATGCGGGCTATCTTTATATACTTTAAAATGAAAATCAGAAATTCATATACCATTAAATTTTGATATGAGGTAAAAATAAATAACTAGCACTCCCAGAAAACAATGCGGACCAAATTATCAACAGATCTCAATTTAAAAGAACTACAAAGTTTATTTTGGAAACTTACCCTGTATTTGTTGTCTCCAATCTGTTCAACTTGAAATCGTTTTGCACATTTACACTTAGCTACCTGCCTCGTCACCTGCCGAAAACAATGACGACACATCCACTTTAATGTTAGTATTACACAGTGAGTCCTTAAAACCTCGACACCTGCTAAATGTGAAAATAACAGGATTGCATGAATTGTGCTTGATATCCTGGCCAGAACGCATTACAGTATCATTGTCATGGGTAGTGAAAGATGATGAGTACCTCATCTTCGATCTTGTCAGCATCAGTGACAGGTTTATATGCATCTTTGTTGGGGTGGAGGGCAGCTACAAACTCGTAGTAGTCGATGTACCCATCGCCGTCCCTGTCAAAGATGTCTGCCACTGCGCTCATCTCCAGGCGACTGGTCGGGAACTCTGAAATTTTCAAAGCAACAGAACCCAGTGTGACTGAGATGTAATTGACAAAACTGTAAAATATTTAAAATGCATGCACATATATTTATATATTGGGAAAGGATTCCTCTCATCTAGTTAATTAACACATCTATCACCTCACTGTCTTTTGTGTGTGAGAGACAGAGAGAGCACATTTAAAGACACCACTCTCTTAGCAAGTTTCCATTACAGTGTTATCAACTATAGCCACTGTGTATAGGCACGGTGTTACTCATCAAAACTCATCCATCTTACTACATCTTATAACTGCAAGTATCCTTTTTTTTTTCCCTCCCTAATAGAGGGGAAAGGGAAGGAGAAAGAGAAGGAGAGAAACATCAATGTGTGGTTGCCTCTCATGTGCCCCCTATTGGGCACTTGGCCAGAAACCCAGGCACATGCCCTGATGGAATTGAACCAGCAACCCTTTGGTTCGCAGGTCAGCGCTCAACCACTGAGCCACACCAGCCAGGGCTAAAAGTTTGTATCCTTTTACCAACCTCTTCTATTTCCCCCAGTCGCTGGCAACCACTCCTCTTCTCTGTTTTTGAGAGTTTGACTTTGTATTTAGATTCCACATATCAGTAATAATTAAGATACTACCAGTATAAGCCATATAATAGTCCCAGTTAAAAGTCTGTAAGACCTGCTATACTTACTATAACATTTTATTAAAAAGATTTAAGTCTTTAAAAAATAGTAAGTAGTGTAACTTAAGTCTGCCTTAAGACATTCTTTGTTGTACATTTTAATTTTAATGTGGCTGATTAAATTATCAGGGTTATCAAATGTATTAAAGTCCTTTTTAAAAAACTGATTTACATAATAACAAAGAAAACCACTATATATATGTCTTTACTAAATTTATGTTTAATTACTACTAGGGTAAATCATTTGAAATTGCTGTTTTTCTAGGTTGAAAACTGTTTAATATTAGCACATTTCAAATGGTTCAACTATCACTCTACTTAAGGAATAATTTATGTGAAATTTATTTTAAGAATGACTTCCAGTAACATGAGCCAGAGACATCACATACACACGACCGAGCTACCAGACAAGAGGATGGCACGCACCTTCAGAAGTTTATACCACAGAGTTCTAATTTCCTACTGATGATGATGTTAGACCAGAGTGTCAATCAAAATGACAGAGACTGACTTGCTGATTTCCCACTGTGCCAAGCAACACAAACCATCTAAGAATCAAGTATCGTTAGGTTTACTATACTAATGAGGACACTGCTTCGGTGGTGTGAGGCATCTGTCTGTGGTGACACAAGTATTCAAGTGTGCCTGAAGCCACAGCCATAAATTTTACCAAAGACACTTCTTTGGAGAGTGGTGATTTCAGAGCCAAGTTTAAAGGTGAAGCTTTATTGGCAACCCAAGTTTGCTGGCCCCACAATTTTAAACTGTGCTTATTTTCTTTAAAAATTACATCAGTTTCAGTCACTTCTCTTGGGACTTACTTGAGGAAAGAATGCCATCAATAAATTCTTGTCGGGTTATTTTCCCATCCTGATCTTTATCAATTCTCCTGAAAAAGTCCATCACCCGAGATTTCTTGTGATTCATCCATCGCATGTATTTTTTGCGCCAGATATCAAAATCAAAGTTAGCAAATTCTCTCAGCTGAAAAGGGCAAAAGATATTTTGGTTGAGTTAATGCTGTGCTCAGGTTATATGAACAAAGTTACTTTTAATGAACCTCTAGTAAGGACATCTTTCCTACTTCAAAGCAAGGTATAGCTTTGCAAAGGGGAAGCTAGAAAATTTTTTGCTATAAGGTTTATTTCATTCTTGTTACTGTAGTCACTCTGGTTTTTCTTTACAAATACAGGAAAAAATAAAACTCCTCCAGAAATGTCAAACTGAAAATTTGTGACAGTGCCAAAATCACAAAGGTGGCGGTGTGCCCTAACATGACACCACTAATAAGCTCCATGCCCACTGGGTAGCAGCCCCAGCCCACCAGCACCACACAACTCCTCATTCTCTGCTACTGCTCCTCTAACTCCCCTAGACTACCAACCATTTTCCAGTTTCACCACCTGAAACTCTAAATCTCAGATCAAAGAATGTATATAATGAAAATATCTGAACTATAAATGGTTATATTTGCCACTTAATACCACCAAACAATTGCATGTCAAGCTAGATCTTTTCTTGACTTAGCTTCTGATTATGTTGAAATGTATTCGTTTTTCACTTTATTGCTTCCCTAAATCCCAGTTCTATATATCAGGGGCTCCCCCTCACAAAAAAGTACATACTTTAGTATTAATTCTAGAAGTAAAACATGCACTCAAATAGCAAAAGTTTGCTTAAGTATTAGCAGAAAAGTTGAAAAATCAAGATTTTGGCAATGTGTCACGGTGAACAGAGCAAGGGACAATATGGTGCTGTGTATATGAGTGAGTTTTCTAACCTCCTCCAGTCTGTCCAAGGCATCGTTAAGCTTCCTCCTCCTTTCCAGGGCGAGGAGCCAGACTTGCTGCCATTTGCTCATCAGTAAGTTGACCCTGGGATTCTTGGTTTCAATTTGTGTTTGTGATCCAGATGGATATAAGCTTGATGCTGGGAAGCGTTTTCCTGTTAAAATAGAGCTTTAGTTATGTTGGCAGTTTCCGGGCTTCTGAAGTCAACTTAATTACTGGGCATTACGAATACAAATGCCCTGTTCAGATGATGCCTAATGTCAAGGTGCAAACCTATTTTATGTATTAAGGATCATATACTTTTCACATAAATGAGAGAAATATGTCTTAACAGGTGCATTTAAATACTGAAAAGCTCTCCCGATAAATGTATGCTCAAAACATTTTCTAGCTTAAAACTCATGCCATTTCAATGAGAATGAAGTATACTGTGATCTGCCTCTTTGTCAAGGCATGATAAAAGCAATCTCCCAGGGTAGTAAGAGTAGCTTAGAATCGGTTACATAAACCCTTCTCAGAGAATAAGGCTGAAAGGAGGGCAGGTGAAGGTAGACGAGGGCAAGAGACACTGGGCATTCATCAGAGTCTGAGCAAGATATCTGACAATGCCAATCAAATGTGGAACATGGACCTGGATGAAAGCTAGGGTCCCACACACATTTCCACATAGTCTCATGCCACAACTGAGTGTCTTACTGATGCTCTCTCCCTCTTTCTGGCTGTTTTTCACAGGTTTCTACAACTTCACAGAACAATGATCTCAACACATTTTTCTCACTTAACTAAACAATTAAAAGTGGCCTAGAGGAATTCCTGGCCTAAGGTCACATGGGAAGTTGCTGTCCAGCTGGGGCTTGCCTGGAATTCCTGACTCACATAGGGCTCTACACATATCAGAACGTCAATAGCTAGTATTTACTGAGCATTTAACTATACACCAGAAAGTATGCTAAGTGCTTCATGAGTATTAGGTTATTTAATCCTCACGAAAGTTCAATGAGATTATAATTTTCCCCTTTTACAGAAAACTGAGGCTCAGAGAGAAGGTGGGGAGGGAGGGAGGGAGAGAGAGAGAGAGAGAGAGGGAGAGGGAGAGGGAGAGGGAGAGGGAGAGGGAGAGGGAGAGGGAGAGGGAGAGGGAGAGGGAGAGGGAGAGGGAGGAAGAATTTGAGTAGCTTGTCCAAGGTTCCATTTTCCAGTTGGTGAGTGGTGAGGACAGCCAAGGAGTCTGTCTCCAGAGTTCTGAACCAGAGTTTGTTACCTTGCCTCCTTGTGAAATACAGTAACTACAACAGATTGGGAACCATTTTTGAAGTTATAGTACCATTCAGAAATATACAAAATGTATGATATAAATTGTGCTTCTTTTAAATCTTCTCCAAGCTGGCTATTATTTTTTTAATGTCACTTCATTGGGTCAAGGTAGACTAAAGTCATGTGGACATGCAAAACATCTATCAGACTGCTGGTCACTACTAAACAGTTAGGTCACAACTGTACCCAGGTCACGGCCATTTCTGTTCCATTCCATACTATGGTTCTTTATATACTAGCTGTAAAATGAGACAATTCAAAGGGGCTGATGATTTCTGTTCTTGATATATATTTTTCAATTTCTTCTAGCTAATCCAAAAGATATACTTCAAGCCAACACACTTACATGTTGTGACCTGAACATATCTTTTTCTTTATTTTTAAATAAGTCGCTATAAAATGTACGCCCCATGTGTTCTTTCAAGAAAACTTTCTATGATAGATAACTCATGTACAATCACCAACTGCTCCAAAATTTCAAACAATAAATCAAAATAAAATAAAAACAACTTCCTTGCTTAACTATCTTCATTTTGAAGAAACTGGCCCCTACTTACTGCCTGCCCGCCCCTTATCCAAGACTGGAATGTGGGACTGCAGTGAGGAGGGGTCTGTTGTTCTCCTCTTGTAGGTCTTGGTAACTTTGTCCACGTCAGGTTGTTTTCTGGTCATTTCTTCCATGAAAGTCTGAAATGAAAGAAATTATATCAATTAAACACAAGGATATCAGAGAAAGCCACCTGCAGAAATGAACTAAAAACAAGAGGAAAAAAAAAAGACCACACAATTGTCTCTGAAAAACCAACTATCAAGTTTTATCTTAAGGGTTTTGATATAAATGAAAACCATCATAACATAGCATTTACTAATTTCTAAAGAATTCAAAAGGTTATAGCTGGTAAGTAATTACAGCATCACAAAGGTAATTGGTTTTCGCTTGAGCACCACACCTGGGGCCACAGGGTGAGCAACACAACCTGTGTGTGCACCAGCCAGGGCCCAGTGTCCGGCCGGCCTCTTCCTGAAGGGTCTCAGAGTCAGCATTTGTCTGCAAAGAAACCAGTTAGCTGGGGTGGTCCCTAAGACCTTTTTGTCTTACCAACACACTTCACCAACATATGGAAAATATTTAAGATGGCTTGGACATACAGTGACAAAAAGCATCCACATTAAATGTGGATATAAATATTTTTGGCAATGAATGTGCTTTACCAAGGAGGATAAAAGTTGTTCAGGTTAAAGTTTAGATTTAAAAGGTTCAATTAGCTGGATATTTCTTATCTCATCTCCTTGGGCTTATTATTATTAACTATATTGTTGACTTTATATATATATATAAAGGAGGAGGCAGGTGAAAGTGCACAGTGACAGATTTCTGGGGTATTTTTCACACTAGAAAACTACTCACTTTAACACCTCTGATCACAGAGAGCATGACCTGAGACAGTGCAGGGCCACTGCAGACATGGATACTTCTATTTTTATTAAAATATAATAGCAATGGTAACTGTTTAACCAACTAGGCCGATACAATGTTACCCTTTGTAAATGTAAATTAAACAAGCAAACAAATGAGAGTTAGGGTAATGCCCATCGTTCCAGAGTTTAAAACAGGCAGGATACACAGGAGAGACTAGAAACCCGCTGGAAGGAGCTGAGGAGTGCGTTTGAGGAAGGGAAGGTAACAAGCACAAAGCCATGTTTTGAGCACTAGAGCAGCGCAAGAAAGAAACTGTCTGAGAAGACCAGGGTTCAGAATGACATTTATTTTACCTGGTGTTCTGCAATGAGGGCTTTCACCTCTTCAATTTCCTGGGGGATGGCTTCTTTGTCCTTCTCGCTAAGTGTCGTTTCAGCCCACTGCAGCCACGTCAGCAAAGCTTCCAACAATTCCTGCTTAGCAATGAGCCCAGCCAGAGCACTTGCTAATCTCTGCTGATGTTGCTTCGCCCAGGCCAGCACCTGTTTGAGAAACAGAAATTTCTCTGAATTTCTTCCACTTTGGTGAGTAATTTAACTGATGTAAAATACACAAAATTTACAAGTAAACTAGGAACTTGGACTAGAAGCCTTTCTAGATCCCCTCAGTGGTGCCGAGACCCAGCTGGCAGAGGACATGGGTGCCCTTGACGAGAGTCATCACCTTCGGAAGTTCACAGGTGGACGTCGGTCATCCAGGCTTCCTTTTGCTTTCTAACATACATTCAAATACGCATTCTCTGAAGGATCAAGTGTGCTCACTCCATTTAGAGCAGAGTAGAAATAAAAGTAGCTAAGATCTTAAATACAGAGTTAATTCAATTATTGTACACAATTCATTCTACAAACATATATTATGCTTCCGTGAAATACTATTCAACTGCTGGATTATTCAACAGGCACAATGTGGAAGGGAGGCAGAAACTTATCTAGTGAAGCAAGTATTGGCCTTTTCATGTTTCAGGGACATGGCTGCAAAATTCCTTTCGGTGTTTAAAGAAAAGTGGACCACCCTGACTGATGTCGGTCAGTTGGTTAGAATGCCATCCCGTAAACTGGAAGGCTGAAGGTTCGATTCCTAGTCAGGGTACATACCTAGGTTGAAAGGAGGCCAATTGATGTTTATCTCTCATATAGATTTTTATCCCCCTCTTCCCTTCCCTTCTCTCCAAAAATCAATAAGCATGTTCTCAGGTGAGAATGGAAGGAAGGAAGGAAGGAAGGAAGGAAGGAAGGAAGGAAGGAAGGGAGGGAGGGAGGGAGGGAGGGAGGGAGGGAGGGAGGGAAGGAGGGAGGGAGGGAGGGAGGGAAAGAGGGAGGGAAGAAGGGAGCAAAGCGAGGATGGACTTCAGAGACAGGTGACACATACAGAAGGGTATGTTAAAGAACATTTCTCTCTGCAGAGCCCTCATGTTGCCATGGCTGTAAGTGCACCTTAATTGCCAAAGTTCTCATATCCCTGACTGTCCAAGCTACTGTAGCTCTAAAGGTGACCTGAGCCACACTGACCTCCTCGAACCTGGCCCGGATGATCGTTATCCAGTGCTTGATGGTGGTGATGGAGTCAGGGTGGCAGATAGCCAAAACGGCATCCCCCATGCTGGTCGCTTTATTGAGTGCAGCTCGTTTTTCTTCCAGTTTCTTCATGAATTCCTACAGCAGAAACAAAGAGTTCAATTAGCTGTTGGCACTGGCTGAAAACAAAACTCCAGTGACATTCGTTTGACTGTCAGAGCTAAACAAATAAACACGACCTTCAACTGGTTTATTCACAGCTGGAAATAATCCACAAATTTGGGAGTTAAAGGAGGAGAAGGACCCAAAATAGGAAATAAATACAGGGTTCATCACAAATAATGTCCCTTTTTATTACCCAATCTTCTATTACAAAGTCATAAGCATATAATTCTGTAACATAACAATATCACACTCAAGCACACCATATAACATTTTAGGTGAAATGTTCAAGTTAAAATTATAAATTATTACACCCATATTATTATCCTACCAATCACACTCAAGCAGGTGTGACTTCTGCCAGACCCTGTACTTTCTAATACCTATTTTTTAAAAATTATAAGATAGCATCCCATGCTTTACAAAATATATTAGACAAGACATATGCTCTCCTAATTTTTATAATTATATTATTAATGGAGAGTAGGATTGGGAGAGACAGTATTATCAAACATACAAATAATATTGAATATTATTGAAACAAAATAACAAAACAAGGAAGTTAGTATTTAAAATAGCATTCACTGTGTCAGGAAAGATAGGAGTATGTTCCAAAACAAGGAAGAGCGAGCTGGGCAAGGCGCTCTAGAAGGCTGAGGGTGTGGAGAGACGGCACAAATGTCCAGCCAGGAAGGAGGCAGGCGGAAGCTGGAGGGAGTGGGCCAGACAGCAGGCCGACTGTGTGAGAGCTGCCCCTCTCATTCAAAGGCCAGTAAGAGCCACTCTCCGCTCCAGCGGGATGGATGAGCCTTAAAACGTCCAGAACTGTATCCACAGATACCTGAATCATAGAACTCTTCAAGCGTCATTAAAAAATGAGGACCTTTACCTCAAAATAGCTGATATAATTCCAAAACCACACACTGAATTTCAAGCATCCACAGATACCCCAGTCTATCTAGACCCCCACGCTAAGAGGGATTCCTTGACCCCTGGCTGGTGTAGCTCAGTGGATTGAGCAAAGGCCACAAACCAAAGGTTGCCAGTCCAATTCCCAGTCAGGGCACATGCCTGGGTTGCAGGCCAAGTCCTCAGTTGGGGGCGTATGAGAGGCAACCCACATTGATGTTACTTTCACTTTCTTTCTCCTTCTCTTCCCCTCTCTCTAAAAATAAATAAATAAAATCTTTAAAAAAAAATGGATTCCTACCTAGATCACAGTGTCAGGGGGTCCCAGAGGCTGCAAACACAGTGGGCACTCATGCCCTCTGACCAGGGGCGATCATCTGAAACTACGCGTTGACTATAGAGTCTAGGGACCCTGTGAATCTCCGTGAAGCAGCTCTGTCTCGTGCCTCCTACCTGAAGTTTGCTATGCTACCATAGTTTGTTTACATACTTATCTACTAGAGTTTAAGGTCCACATGATCAAAAGACTGTGTCTTATTCCATTTTGTGTCTTTGTGATTGAATAAATGCTTTTCAGCCTTTTATTTACACATTTTTACTACTGTGGAGCCAAGGTTCGATTAATAATATACTCCACTAATGTGGCCTACTTTTTAAAATATCGTGACCCACTTCTAAAAATATTGTAATTTCCCCCAATATATATCCCCTTAAATGAAGGAAAACAAACTTTACTAGGAAGGTCAACAACAGCTGTGCTTTTCCAGAGGACAGCTGATCTGACCATGTACTTTTAATCACTTCTACACCTGGAAAAGCCCGGTGCTGCCGAACACTGGGGACTGGCTGTCAACTCCCCGCTGTGTTCTCTGCTCTTCCACTGTCGCCTGAGTGCTGCTTTAGTAGTTTGTGCTCACATGGGAACACACGCCGTTTTTGAGAGTAAAATATGCTGAGCAGTCTCCACTCCTGGGGCTGATACTCTGTTGTTCTTTTTTTTCCCTACTGGTGAATGTGTGAAGGGAGGCAGAAGGATTGAAAAAGAATGAATAATGTTACTGTGAAATATTATTACTAAGAAGATCTTTATAAAATTACATGTTGTTTAAATAGCTTATGCTATTTAAAAAAATTTTAAGGTAATTACAGTAAGTCTTCATTTAACATTGTTGATAGATTCTGCAACTTTAAGTAAAATGACACAACGAAACTGATTTTATCATATGCTAATTGATACAAACAAAAGTTAAGTTCCTATAGCAGCTCATCAATATTGTAAAAAAATGACATTACTGGAGGACCTACTATTTTTATAAAAGCCATTACCACTGCCCTGGATACCTGCCTCCTGGTGATTCAGGGGATTTTCTGATCCTGCTGTGCAGGTGGTGAGACCACAAGTGGACTCCTTTCTGTGGGGGGATAGATCTGAACCCTGGGCTGGGAGGGGCTCCTCTGAGATCCAGGCCTGAGCAGGTCAGGGTACCAGTCAGCCTATAGTAATATAATACAGGGCCTGGCACAAATAACACCCCTTTGTTACGACAAAATTTTTTTACTACAAAGTCATAAGCATGTAATTCTTTAATATTACTATGTCACACTCAAGCACACCATATGACATTTTAGGTGAAATGTTCAAATTAAAACTATAAATTATTACACCCATATTATTACCCTACCAGCCACACTCAAGCAGGTGCTACTTCTGCCAGACCCTGTATAACCTGAATTTTCAAAATACTGGGCTGAATAAAATATTTACAATAAATTTGATGTAACTTTCCTATTTTTACATTCTAGCCTCAACTTTACATGGTGTAGGAAGCATTTCATTTCTTCAGATAATGTCATGCTGGATCACATCACTCTCCTTAGTGACAAGGCAGTGTTTCATTGCCATAGGTCACACAACCAGTCATTGAGAGATCGTTGTAATTAAAGTAAGAAGACTCCATAGATGATGTAATCCATGCTACCCTGGAATTACTGATGTATTTCTAACTTGATCTTGAAAGATGAGGTTACTCAGGGGTCAAACAGATCCTTTAAAGTTAACAGGAACCCTGACAGCAATACTACACTGAGTGTTAGCATTGCAAGTTCCTGCTATTTAGAGTCAAAGCTTTAAAAAGAATCAGTTAAGATCTATCTGAACCACTCTCTTCAGGGTTTTGCTATTTCAATGCATTATCACAAGAAACACCTTGATCTGAAACTCAATGGCCAGATTTTTATTTACTTTATGGTATGCCTACTTATATAATTCATTTATCCACTTACAATTTATACTAGAGTTAGTTCTCAAAGGAATTTAAGGCACCTCTTGATTAAAAACAGAATTGGCAAAGGCTTAAAAATAAAATTTGCAGACCAATTATTAAATTACTTGCTTATCTTAAGAGTCAAGGTTATTAATTTATAATTCTAAAGGTATGACTATGCCATACTACTTATTAAGGAAGTTTTATTTTGGAAATGCACATAAAAGTGCAACAATATTGACCAACTTTGGTCAGAAGCCAAATAACCCCTAGGAAAATCAATGAGCTTCCTAAAGATAGGAAACCAAGTGACTAATTTTAGAATAACCATCTTCTTTTTTTCCTAGTTTGGATTTTCTCTATTTTTTAAAATTTGTATTGTTGTTCAATTGCAGTTGTCCCCATTTTTCCCCCTTGCTCTCCCCTGCACTGCCCACCCCCCACGTTCAATCCTCCCTCGCACTGTCCTTGTCCATGGGTCCTTCATATACATGTTCCTCAACCTGAAGAACCACCATGTTCTTTATAAAGAAAAGATAAAAAGCTAGCTACACATACCTGTGTAAAGGTGCACAGGGACACACCTATGCAAGCAATGAGAACACAGGTAAATTCTCAAATGCACCAGATCTTTAATTAGTTTTCAAGAAGGAAAATATTCACATAGTTGATATTTGCAGTCATAAGTCTATTTTCTTTACTTTGTTTGATTTTCTCACTTAGTTTTACTAAGCATTTACGTAACTCACTTTATGCTGATCAATGAGTGTCCGAAGAGCATCCTCATCGTCCGGGAGAACTCCGTGGAAACGCAGGGTTTGCTCGGCCTCAGCCAGCCACTCCAAGAGGGCATGCACCACTGAGTGAAACTCCTCCGCCTAAAGGTTCACATACACACGCACCCCACACAGAGTCCCAAATATGCTTGTTAGTATAGTAGATTCTTCCTCTCAATAAGAATAAAAGTTTTACATTTAAACTGATTCTATGAATTATCCCCATTAAAAAGATTAAGCTATGGTGCTGCCTTTTACAAATGTAAGAAAACATCTAATATATCAAAAAGCCTATATTATGAAGAATAACTCACCATTTTAACAATCTGATTTTAGATGAATGGCAGCCCGTTTATACACTCAAGCTCAAAAATTACTCAAGCAGCACATTCAGGTGAAGATTAGAAAACCTCCCTCAGTAGTAAATTAAGGTCTTGGGGAGAGGGGTTGGAGGGAAGGACCAAGGCAATGATGGTATCAGAACTTCCTTCTCCATGGCTGTCTTGGTTGGGAAATGAGGACGTTCATGGTTCTTCACAAAAGCAGTTCCTACCGAGGATTCATGCCCTCTCACTACACCCTGCTATAATTTACATGATGATTACCTGGCGCAGAGCTGCTTCTAATCGTGTTTGCTTTGATATCGAAAGTGCGCACACCGTCTCCCAGCGTGTGCTTAGCTCCTGCATCTGGACCTTGACCCAGGAGGAGTCGTCTCGGCTGCCTTCTATGAGTTCTCGGGCCGAGCGCTTGAGGGCCTGCACGCTGCTGGTTCTCTTCCCCAATTCCTTTTGGAAGGCCTAAGAGAACCATATTTTTATAGAAATTTATTTTTAATTACAAAGCCAAAACAGTAAAACATAGTTGGAAATATACGCGTGGAAATGACATCATGTATAACTCTCCGAGCCCTGTAGTTGAAGGACCCAGACTTTTCACAGTCTTCAGAAGACATGACACACTGCCACCTGCAGAGCACTGTTAAGAGCAGTCTGGTGCCTTAGACACAGAGCGCGGACTGGTGGTTGCCAAAAGGAGAGGCGTTAGGGGCTGGGTGAAAAAGGTGAAGGCATTGAGAAGTACAGACCAGCAGTTACAAAACAGTCACATGGAATGTGCATACAGCATCGGAAACACCGCCAACAACACTGCAATAACTATATACATGTTGGGTGGGTACTGGAAATATGAGGGGGAACACTCTGTAGAGTATATGATTGTCTAACCACTATGCTGTACACCTGAAACTAATACAAAATAACACTGAATATAAACTTCTTGAAAAATAAAATTTAAAGTTCTTTAAAAAAAGGGACAGTCCTGTATAAATTGGTTCAATCTTATAACAGTTTCTCCAGTGAACAACCTTATTTTTTAAATGACTCACCGGTCTTAAATAATGGTGGCCACCCTTCATTATTTCAATTTCACAAAATAATGCAACAAATTCTTTTTTATCTCTGATTCTTTAAAATGGTGCCTCAGTTCCTCTCAAATCATTACTGAGTTCCATCTGTGTGTTGGCTACCAAACTCCTCTTAATTAGTAAACAGATCTAAGAGACTAACAAATAACTAAGCAATCTTGGGGTACTTCACGGGGATCCTTAAGTATAATGGCAGGAAATCTCAAGGAGGTTGGCATGTAATCCATTTATTCTATAACATGCCTTTATCTTTTATAGCATCCTGAGTACTAATAACCCATAATGTTAAATTTTAGAAGCTTCAATCCTTGTCACCTTGGAGGGAAAGCGTTTTCTGTTTCCCTCCCATCTAATTTAGGTGAAACCTGATGTGCCAGGAATTAAATTGGCTTCTTTTGGCCACAGTCTCAATCCAAGAAATGAGTCCAGGATTCTTTACTTCTGATCCAAGAATCTGTGTATGAAACCAGGTCTTTCAAATAACTGACTTTATATATAGAATAAAATTCCCTTATTTTTTTCTAAAAAAGTCACAAATGAATATTACCAAATATTTTATAACCGTGGTTATATCTGTGGCTTTCTCTTTTGATACTCAGATCATTTATAAAAGACAGCCCATCAGAACCAATGCAAACATAGTATGATGAATTCTTTGCTGATTTCATTCCATTACTTTTCAATGAGATGTGCCTGCAGACAGACACACGTGCACACACATGTGCATGCACACACATGCACAGACGGTGCAGGATCTAAACATTCTGTTTGTGAAAAGACTAGTCCAATATTTCTGAGCAGACTTTCCAATGTACTTTGTATACTTAAACTTCTTCTTGAGTCTTCCAATTGTATTACTAATGCTGAATGATTAATTCATTCTTGATGACCTTTAATATATAAAAAACCTGGCAAGTGCCTAGGGGAGTAAATATTTAGACAGTGAGCTTACAAAAATGGTATTTATGTAAAAAGGAACATTACACTATTCATTACTCATTGAATGAAAGCCAGGGAATGGAAAAGTTTATATTAATCACGTACAAAATATTTGTTTTAATATAGGCAAAGCAACATACTTTTTAAAATTTTTAATTTTTGCAGTCCTGATCAATGTTCATTATCTATTCTTTTATCTTCTAACATTCAAAATAACCAAGTCTCCTTCAATGATATAGTGAGATAATGGAACAAGAAAAGGGGAACTCAATATGCAAAAGGACCAATGATGTAAAAAAGAACAAGATCAAAATAGCATAACCAGGGAAGTATAAAGAGAACATTTTTTAATAAAATAGATTTTCTGAACTCAAAAATGATAGAGGGGAAACACAGCATGAATTCAAGTACAGTGCTGTAAGATACCTCTGTATAAAGTCGTCTGATAAAAACCATTCTACCTAGTGCTGTGCCTCACGCTGTTTTTAAGGCTCGGTCGTAACACAGCATTTGATCGCAACTGAGGACTGCACACCCCGTGACAGCTGGAGTTCTCAAATACGACCTTTGATTTGCCCAACAGTTTAACATACGTATCAGGAGATTGCAAAGAAACCAATTTTCTTGAAGTAATAATCAAATCCCTCCCAGCATATGCTGTTGTCTAATAAATTGCTGTAGTTCAAGGGGCAAGGTTAAAACAGTTAAAAAAAAGAAAAGAAAAGCAGCTGACCGTGACCCCCATAGATCATGTCACAAATCTGTGCATTTACGCAGTGACCGAGTTCCAGGTCACTGAGTGAATGATTTTAAATTATATTACATAATTATTTAAATGAATAAAGAAAGGTAGTAAAACATTCTTGAAACATGTTTTAAAATACCACAGAATAAAATCGCTTTCCAAGTTCTAAATGCTCTTGAATCTGGAAAATTAAACACAAAAGTATTTCTTTGATACTAAAATAATTTTCCTACATTGTTTTTAAACTTGGCTCCCTGCTTCTGCTCAAATGTCCATGCATTTCAATATTAAAGACTTACATAGTATGAGATACAGTCTCTAAGATTTTAAAAGGCTAAGTGGTAATAGTTTTTTCTATACTCAGAATAAACAAATGAGATGAATAAAATGTCCCAGGTAAACAATACCTTGTGGTTATCGATCAGATTCATCACTAAATCAATGTCTCCATGGACAGGCTGGTCTTCTGCCAGCTGGGGCTCAACTCTGTATAACCAATCAATGAGGGCCTGCAGGGCATCTGTGAATTGTCCGGAAAACAGCAGAGCTTCCTCCAATTTGTTTTGTCTGTGGGGGTGGGGGGAAGGAGGAAAAATCACTCTAAGCAACAAAAGAGCCAGCCTATACAGCCAACAGCTAAAATTCATCTATGAGGTTTGAGCCTTACTCAAGATATAAAAACAATACGTTGGTATTCACTGCTGTTTCTGCACTTTCTTTAGAAAATAACAACACTGTTCTCAAATTTTCCCTCCTATTCCTTAGATACATGGCATCTGTTCCAGGAAAATTCTCTCATCATTACCCCTGGAAATCATAGACCCTTTTCTTCATAAAAATATGCTTTTTTAACTCAAAAGTTTTATAATTTTGTTTTAAATTATCATACAGTAAAAACTGAGGTTTTGGGGTATACCATTATATGAATTTTAATACACATAACTATCATCATAATCAAGGTATAGAACAGTTTCATCATCCTGGAAAAAAAATCTCCCCCGGGCTGTCTCTTTATAGGCACAGCCCGCCCCCAACTCTCAGCCCGGCCTTTACAGATCTGTCTGCCCTCACTGATCTTTGGTCTTTTCCAGAATGTCATATAAAAGAAATGATTTATCTGAGTATGTGACACTGTAAAAAGCATGACCTTTTGAAATTGGAGATTTTTAAAATTAAAATGTACACATACAAACTTACTGTGAAGTTCCCTAGAGTGGAATATAATATTCTATTTACCCTTGACACTGACAAAAGTAATTAGACTAAGGATCAATAAAAACTTTGAAAACATTTTAAAGATATTTGAATTCTTTCACACTACTGTTCCTTCTTAAATACTTAAAAATTTTGAAATAAGTTTTGGGCTTTCACATTTAAAGTGTAATGAGAAAAATGGGCATAGAAATAAGCGGACGGAAGTTGGAGGGGACCACAGGGGTGAGATCAGTAGACCTTGCAGAGAAAACACCTATATTTTAGTTCACACCAATATTGAGACCCCAAAGGGTATGAAGCAGGGGAATGAATAGCAAGCTTCATTTCCACTTTAAAAAGACCACCCTAGTAGTTATGTAGAAACAGGACTAAGGACAATAGCAGACCCAGGGAGACCAGTCAGAAGATTAACTGCTATAGCAAGTGTGAGATGACAGAAGTTTGCAGAATATTCTCACTTTTGAGTGAACTGCATAGTTAAAAACAAATGATAATGAACAGCAAAGCCTTCTCAGTGCAGGAACTGTGTAAGGGGGGTACTAAGGACCAGCAGAAGTTCCCCAGGCAAAGGACATACTTAAGCTTTCTAAAATGCATGGCCCTTGGGTATCTGAAAGAGGTCCAACAAAGTAACCCAACTGTCTTACAGAACATTTTACCTCTCCACAGACTTTCCACAGATAGTATCCCATTTGTCTCTCAGTTCACTCAGCATGTCATCCAGTTTCAGGATGTCATCGGCCAGGGAGGTTTTCTCCTTCAGAGAACGTCCAGTTCTGTTGGTGGTGTCGTAGACAGAATGCTTGGCTCCGAGTGATTTCTGAAACTCCTATACATACAACAAGACAACGATGTGCATGTGTACTTGGGACTAACAAACAAATCGGTAAGAGACATCAAAAAAGGCATCTCTAACAGATGGGACCTAATGAGAAGACATCAGCAAACAATCGAGTCATATCCAGTGGAGTGCTGGTAGGAACACATCAGGGTAGAAAAGGATCTTTACATTTTCAAATGGAAGGTTTCACTTTTCTTAGAAGCCAGGTGTCTCCAAGAGCACCTGTTATGGTCAAGAAAATAATTTCAAAACAAAAAAATTCTGAATGTTCTGTAGCTATAAACCACAAACAGTTATGATAAGATGGAATTGCTAGTAAACTACTGAAAATCCCATGGTTTAAGAAAAAATTGACATTCTGTGAGGTCCAGAGGTCCAGTAAGGACACAGAGTGACTAAATAATGTAAAATTTTACTTTTTTTTGGTCAAACAGATTTATTGTCACACATTTTTGATAGTCATAATAATGTTAAGTGTAATTTCATCCGTGAACTAGGTAGGATGAGGGACAAATAAGAACCACATCTATAGACTTCTATGTTTGGACCTACTGGTCATTCAGGTCACACCACTTGGGAGGCCTGTACCCTCCTCTCCACCTTTGTGACGACCTACCGAAGTCTGAAAGATGCACAGGTCACTCTTCTAAGTACCTGAAAGCTATATTGCTAACATGGAATCTATGCTGTGTTGCTTCTTCCACTGTTAATCTTCACATTTGTGTGTATATGTGTGGGAGGGGTGTATTCTATTCTTTCTATACAACTCAATTATAAGCCTCTCTGGAGCAGGAATATTGTCTTTGTAGGCTCCTCACTATCAGGTTATATTCTATGTGTGTTTATAACTATGTAATAGGAAGAATGAGACAACTGCTATTGCATATACAATATAACCCCAAGGATGGGAAGAAAAGTAAGGTCAACATAACAGGCAGCCTATAAGCTCAAAAACAAAAATGGGGACACATACAGTGATTCTCAGTCCTGGAAGAACATTAGTTAGAATCACTCTAGAGAGTAAAATGCTATGCAAATGTATAATCTTCCAAAGCAACCTCAGTTAAAATTACCTAATAAGTTTTTATTGCCTTTAAAAGTGAGACACGTCAAATGTTTCATAATGACTAAGATATTTATTTTGTCTTCTAACACAAGGCAACTACATCTGGGAATTTTTTAGTAACAAACACCATTACAATATCACACTATTTTTACAGTTTGTTTTCTGTACAAACTGATATAATTTTTTTCATGTTATTCTGAACAGGATGTTAGTTTTATAATCATGGTATTGACAGATTTTCTTCACATTGCAGATACTTAATAACTGTTATAGCTGAATACAAGGTAAGTTAATACTTTTTAAAGACAAAAAGTACCCAAGTGATGAACACAAAGGACTTCTTTTAAAATTGGCTGAATGGAGTTCATCATCACTAAGCCCTTATTATATAAAACGTTAAAGGGACTTATCTAAGAAAAAGAAGATCAAAACTATGAACAGTAAAATGACAACAAACAACTCTCAACAACTGAATGTAAAATACAAAAACAAAAAACAAACTACAAAAACAACTAGAACAGGGACAGAATTACAGAAATGGAGATCACATGGAGGGTTATCAGTGGGGAGGGGGAGAAAAGGGTGCAGGGAATGCGAAGCATACATGGTAGGCACAAAATAGACAGGGAGATGTAAAGAGAAGTATGGGAAATGGAGAAGCCAAAGAACTTATATGCACAACCCATGAACATGAACTAAGGGTGGGGATTGCTGGAGGGAAGGGGAGTACCTGGCAGAGGGAGGCAAAGGGGAAAATATTAGGACAACTGTAATAGCATAAGAAATAAAATATACTTTAAAAATTGGCTGAATGTACCATGTATCTTTATCTCAGAAACAGTAACTATGGCACTAAGCTGCACTAGGGAAAACAGAGAATCTAACAAGGTTCCTTGCATATCCTTATTACGAGGATTTTCAAATTTAAATATTCAGTATACTTTCATAAGACTACACGACACAACATCTACAATCAAGTTCAAATAGGGCATTCTACATTGAGAAGGAGGTTCTCATTTTTCCATCAAAGGGGAAAGAAGGAAAGTACGGCTCACTGTCACTCTGCTGCCAATGTTAGATGTGGCAGCTCAGGGACACAGGGTGCCAACAGAAAGAGCCACTCATAAAGCTCTCATCCAGACAAAAACAGATGCTCAGTATGTTTGCTTCCATCACCCTAGGATCATGACCCTCTGAGGTTACTTAGCTTCACCAGTGGAAGCAACCAACCTAAGTGAAGATGGTGGCCAGAACTTTCTCACGATGACCTTACATTGCCCCAGTTTTTTCCTTTTATAAATTACCACCTTTCAAGCAATGAGTTATTTGTAGATTCCTAAAGCTGTCAAACTGTTGGCAGGAACCACTCTCCTTTTGCCCACACCCTCCTTCTGAGTGCTGATGTCAAACAGAATTACAGAGAGACCCAAATACAATAGATTGGAGGAGGATGGGGAAATGCTCTTTGAATGCCAGGGAGTAGGAATACAAAAGGTAGAAAATATAAAATGTAATGTTCCTATATCTTCTAATCTATACAAGGAACCACTGTGGTTGAGGGTAAGGATGGAATTTCATATACCCACATATACACAATAAAATGCCAACTTAGGTAGAAAAAGACAATTTTTCCCCAATGCACTGTTAAAAAGAACCTATATGGAAAAATGTACATTACTTTATACTATAGAATTATCTTCTGCATGGACTATGAAAGAAAGTACAAGATAAGACAATTGTTAAAAATTGAATTCCCAGGGTTTGGACTCTTACAAATCCTTTACATGTTTTAGATTGTAGAAGACAGTTTTAATTTTCTGTTTTACTAATTAACTCTGGATCATAATGGAATGGTCCCTGGAGAGTAAAGATGCTACTGCCACCTCACCAATGTGAAGGGCAACTGGTTTTCAATTTCGTGTCGTTCACATTGATCAACCTTTCTTTCCTCGAGTGATGAATAAATGCATAATCAACGACTTAAATAGGAATTTAAAAGTGAGCCTGAAGTACATAAAGACACATTATGCTTCTCTTAATTGTAGACCCACCTTATGCTGCGTGAGCTGTGTTTTTATTTTGTCTGGATCATTGGCGATTTCCAGTTCGGAATCCAAAGACTTTTCTGACTCTTCTAGCCACTCCATAAGTTTACTCCAAGCTTCATGGAACTGTAAAGAAATTCACATTGTGTCCAGAAGATTTTCTGGTATACCGACCATATTTAAAAGCTATTATTTATTTAAAATAGAAATTAATGTTAATTAAATGTTGAAATTTACTAATTTAACATTTCCCTTGAAGAAGAAAAAAGTAGTAGTTTCATCAGCAGATTACAAACTCCCTTGTTAACACTTGGCTCTTATGGTCCTGTCCCTTGCTCACTTCATTATAAGTCACTCAAGCACATAAAGTTTAATAAAGACAGAAATGTTCGGGAGCACCAGGGAGGAGTCCCTTTTTTTTGCTTAATAATTAACACCAACTCTTGCAGAGTTGTAACTGCTGCCTGCTGTCTCTTGCCGAATCTGGGTTTACTTCAATGGTGTTTAATTCTTATGTTAAGGAAAGGAACAAAACAGGATAGAGAGGAAAAAGTGTGTACAATGGCTTTCTTTATTAAGTAACAAGAACGAAAAGGGGTCATTTCGTTCCTATTTAATATGAAGATCAGCTAACATCTTTATTGTTGCTATCAGAATCCTCGAATTAATGCCTATGCCTCACATATTGGTTAAATATGTAAGAGTGCGCACAACACTTGAGTTCTAACTAAATATAATTCTCTTTGTCATCTATGATCTTGAAAAAGTCTAGTGCTACATATATTTCATTTCACCCACAGTCTGCTTTCTGTGTATCATTGAGAACTAGTGGGTACTATTTTTGGAGATCAAATTGTGAAAATGGTTATACATTATTTCTCATAATAAACTTAAGTGAACAGATACAGAGCAAAAACTTAAGTAATCAAAATAAATGTGTTTTATATCAAAGCACATTAATAACGAAGTAAAAGAAAGACGCTTCTTACAAAAATGGGACAGTAACAGCACGGAGTCACAGAGCTGCAAAGGCTCACTGGGCCCCTCTCCTCAGGGCCCACTCTCCCCACACACCCCTCCCCAGGCTCTAATCCATTTAAACATGAAAACAGGGAGGCCAGAACACGGATAGATGTTGTCAAAGTCAGATAATTGTGGTCAACATCTGAGTGAAAAACTGAGATGTTAGAATAAAAACAAATAAAGATACAGCTAGCCACGGTTGTAGGTAGTCTTACTACAAATAACCTTGGCTGTAACAGTGAGATGGTAAGCTTGATGGTATAAACACACAGGTCCTAAGGCTGCTCCTACTTTCACAACTATTTTTAAGTCGCTCAAACATAAGAAATGCTATACTTTCCTACTGAGACTGGTAGAAAATCCTTCTAAAGTTAATTAACCAATTGAGAAGATAAAATTGATTAAATGGAGAAGGGGGAAGAGGGTGGACAACTGGCTTCTGGCATCCAAGAGACTTTTATAAGCTAGATGTTCATAACTCATAAAAGCCTACACTGTGGATGACACTGTTACATATTTGGAGAGAAAAATGTCGCGCTCAGCATTAGTACTGTCTTATGAAATCACTGCAGACCAGTTCCATTCCAGAGACTCATTTATAACACTGCATATATCATACCTCCCACTCACAAAGGGATACAGGGCTTGTAATCCTATAACAGTGCAATATGTCATTTCTAAAGACTTTAAAAGCTTACGCTGATAACTTTAAACACTGAAACACTAGACTCCCAGGACAGCTTCTTATCACCCAACTGAGCCTAGCTCCTCAAAACAATGGAGTCCAGCACCACGGATAGACAAATGCAACTGAATGGGACAGAAGGAGTCACAAAATCCAGCCTCAATATGACACTTTCTAGTTTCTAGTAAAAATCAAAGATACATGCCAAGCAAGGTGGGTGCATCTTTGTCTTCTCTGGAGAATAGAGACACATAATTTTACTTCTTCTCTGTGTTTAGTCTAGAATAGAATATTAATAAGTGAAGGAAATAAGGCAAGATCCTTGTGAGTGTTTCTAGATTTTCTTTAAAAAGCAGCCCCAAAAGATTCAGACAATTTAAAAGTGGGATGGAGCTGTATCAAAATATTAGAAAAGAAGTAAAGGCTTGCCAACAAGTATACAGAGTGAGAGAGGTGAGGAGTCTGAACGGCTCAGACACAGAACACGCCCTTTCAAAAAGCTGGCCAGGAAGCTGTCTGGCTCTCCACTCTGACATTTGAAGAAAGTTTGGCTCAGGAACTAAACAAAAGGTAGTAATATAATAAAGTATGATGTCTTACTCTGAATATGAGAGTGGAAGCTGAAAGGACAAAGAAAAAACAAGCAAACCCAGTAACAAAAATTTTGAGTCTCTTTTGGGGTCTTATGATAATGGTCCATCTATGAAGTCAAGCTATAACCGGGCTTTTCAGGAATAGTCCCCAGGGCCTGAAGTTGCTGCCAGGTCAAAAAGTGATGTCGTTATCCCAATTTAGGCCACTGTCTTAGGAAACAGACACCTTGGCTTCATGCCAGGGTTGTTACACCTAGGATAGTCTGCGATAAAAGTACTTTACTAACATAACATGTATTTCAACAGCTAGAACTGATTCATTGCCAAGTTTGGAGAATTTGTACAAAGGTTTACCTGCTTGGCTCTCTTCCTTGCATCATCCAAAGATCTTCCTCTTTCTACTAACCGTTGAACCACTTTTTCCCATCGACTTTGTACACTGATAAGTAGATTCTTAATGAGGACAACATCTTGTTTCTGGCTAAAATATTTCAGGTGGGTTCCAGTTTTATCCAGCTCTATTATCTGCTCACGGTGAGAATTTACTTCATTGGCAAAGACCTTTCACAAGATAAGGTAAAATTAGAAACAAATGAGAAACTGATCTATCTTGAAAATGCTTCTGGTGTCATAAGCAGAAACTATTTCAAAAGATAAAAGAAAGTTTTCAAACTATCAAATTCATGCTTTTGACATTAAAACAGCCTGCTGTCAACAAAGGTATGAAATCAGAGTGCTATCCATCTGAGTTATAGCATACCTTATGTTCATCGATTTGAAATAAGACTGTGTCCAAGATAAGACTTGGCCGAGAAGCTACATTTAGGGTCTGTTCAGCCTGGGTGAGCCAGTTGATGAAGTCTTGGAGAGAATTGTGGAACTCCATTGCCAAGTTGAGGGCTTCTTCCAGTTTAGTCTGTGAAGAAAGATTATTTAGTATTTGATGATATTTGAGAGTTTTAGTCCACCCAGCTAAACCACTCTCTGGCAGATTTCCTTCCCATCTATACTTTATTTATGCACAAGCTACATTGCCTAAACAGTTTATGAATGTAATGGGTCTTCACTAAGATACTCAACAAACCAAACCCCTTGAATTATAGTAAGAAGAATCTCACTGCAGCTAAAAACATTTGAATATACATCAAATTGTGGTTTGGGGGCAGTTAACCACAGAAACCAATTACTAAAAAGAATCTGTACAAAGAAAGCTTGACAGTCACATGATTAATTTTTGGGACTGCAATACTAAAAAATATATTTATGACGTGTCAGTGAGGGCATGCAATCTACTATTCCCATCCAATCATTTTTCTTATAGCGTTAAACAGTAATATTTTTAATCCTGTCTCATGGATTTTTGTTATGTAAGTGATTATTATATAGAGAGATAATTATCTCATTCTCTTGATCTCCCTCTCTCCTTCTCCCTACAAACTATACTCCCTTTTGCTTAATAAGTATGATTAGGGTAGAATTAATTAACAATCCAGAATTCCAGTGGTTCACATATTTAAAAATATAACCAGTAAGTGATCTACAATATACCATTATCTATGTCTGCACAGATTACTTTAACTCTGTCCTTCTATGTTAAGAAGAATAATGTTTTCAACGGACCCCCATGATACCTCCTAACGTATGCAAAGAGAATTCAAACACAATCCAGTAAAAGTTCCTCGGAGCATGCTACTCAGAGATAAGGTTAAGACTCATGAAATAAAACAACTAAAACATTCATTCTATTATATTAATCAAGGCACATACTTTCCTTTCATTGAGTTTGGTTTCCACCGATTCCCATTTTTCTTTCAAGTTATTTATGTCTTGGTCAATATTTGTCTCTGCAGATTCGGGGCATCTTGCAAGCATCTGTTGGCCCTTCTGCATCAGACTCCTGTACGTTTCTTCTTTAACATCAAAGGCAGCACAGATTTCCTAAATTGAGATACCCCCACATTATGTCATTTTTGAGAGAATAAAATCTAAGAGTTCTTATTCCAGATCATCAATCCCAACCCCCTTATCACATATTCAACTCTATCCAGCCTACAGAATAACACTGACACATTCAAGCTTTTCACTGTATTGAAACAACACCTAAACCTATGGCTATACCCTGTCTACCGAAGAATCTCAGAAATGCTGCTACCATCATGAAAAGGTTTGTGAAGCAGTATTTTAAATGTTACTGTGTCAAGAAAGCCTTCACTGTACAGTAACCAATGAGCTCTGTGGCCTTGGGTAAGTTAACCTCCCTGAGCCTCGATTTCTTCCTCTGTAAAGCAGGACCTAAGTCTTTCCTCAAACTGTATAATACAATGACTGTCCTATTTTTGGTATAATTAAATTGGGGCTCGAAAGACATCTAGTGCACAGAAAGTAAAGGCCCAGTATTAAGACATTTAAGTTGATAGTTCAGACTTTGGAATCACAAAAGATAAACCTGTAGTACTGTGAAAATATTTTTCTAATTATAACATTTTTAAAGCTTTCAACTAGTATGCAGTGTGTATCTTTTCTATAGAGAATATAAAAATACTGCTTCAACAGATTTAAATTTAAAGTCAGTGAAACAAGAGTTACATTCATGTAAAAAATTAAGACTTGTTCTAGTCCACTGATTCAATTATAATGTGGGTCAAATCATTGCTGCCACTGAAAAATTATATATTCTATGTCTAACATTGTCAACTTTGTAATTTTAAAACTAAAATATAATTCAAAGAATTCACCCATATTAAAGTGTAGAATTCAGTGTTTTACTAATATATTACAAGGATGTGCAACGATTACTATAACTCCAGAACATTTTCATTGGCTCAAAACTTTAAAATTTCTTAAGCCATAAAAAACCCTTTTTAAAGATATTTACAGTATCAATAACTGAAAACTTTTAATCCTAAAGCAAACCTTTTAAATATAGCTAAATCACAGGAAACTGTAATATTTTAGGTTTTGATTTCCTTCAATTCTAACATAACCAAATCAAAAGAATATTGCTAAAAATGTATTATAAATATCAGTAACTCTTTAAAATTCTTTAAATCTTGGAATTTCTACAATCTGGTAAATTACGGCAGGTTATAGCAAATTTATTTGAAACGTCCCACCTAAACCACATAAAAGCTAATACCTAACATTTGCCCTGGCTGGCATAGCTCAGTGGATTGAGCGCGGGCTGCGAACCAAAGTGTCGCAGGTTCGATTCCCAGTCAGGGGACATGCCTGGGTTGCAGGCCATGGCCCCCAGCAACCACACATTGATGTCTGTCTGTCTGTCTCTGTCTCTCTCTCTCTCCCTTCTCTCTCTAAAAATAAATAAATTAAATCTTTAAAAAAAATAAATAAAATAAAATAAAAATAAAATATCCTAAAGATACACTTTGCCCTCCTTTGCCCTCTTTGCCCTCCTTTCTTTTTTTACTTATAGACTTCTAAATTAACATTTTAAAAATACTTGTTTTTTAGAAATTAACCTTGGGCATGTTTGTCCACGAATTCATTAATCTTATATTTAATGACCACTATAATAACTACATAGATACTTCCAGAAAAGTAAAGAAATGGGAAGTCAGTCAGGTTTTATGGAAAAGATAAACACTCCTGCGTTATTGTTTAGTCAATCACTTTTTCATTGAACAAATAGTCACCAGTGGCACACACAAAAACACAACCTAATACAACAGTAAAAACAACAAAACCACAAAAACAATAATTTTCTAAAATAATGAATATATAGTAAAGGTTTCTAGAAAATTTCATACAGGACTAATAAGATTTATTTTAAATGCTCATGGCAATTGTGAAGTGACTAAGATATTAATTCTGTTGTGTGTTCTTCACAACACCGACAAATGGTTACTTCCTCTCCAAATCACCAAACTCAAAGTAGGTTCTAAATAACTATAGTTGTAAGAGGCTCTTACAACATTAGACCTGTGCCAAAGGATATATAGACTTTAATGTGTAGTGGCCCATTTCTTTTGTCAAATCTCTAAATACTTCTATTTTTATTTCATAAGATACTAATTATCAGCATTTGAATATTAAAATGAATTCCTGATGGAAATTCACAAGTGTAAAAATTAGAGGATTAGTTTTCAAAATTTAAAACAGACTGTTTACTCTTAGAACTTTCAGAGATGAATATTAATAGGAAATGAATAAGAAATGTCAATAAATCAAAAGCAGTCTAAATTTAATTTGTCAGTCCATATATCTGTGAAAGAAAGCCAGAGCCTCAAGTTTAATCACGTTTTCCTCTTTGTCCTTGGGAGCTGACAGTGCCAGCGAGTCTGGGGGGGAACTGCCCACAGGCAGAAGGCTCCAGACTGGACAATCAAACAGAAGCTTCCCCTCGTCCATATCTGGAATAGGTGTGAAGCTGAAGATATAGCCCTATCACCATTAAAATAAATAAATAACTTTGTTTTAACAGAGCAAAAACACTTTCCAGCCTCCTATGAAACAAGGTGGAAATAAAATGATTACAGCAATAATTTTTAGGTGAATTCTGACTCCTTTAGGGATTTTTCTTACCATTCAAAGAGCAAAAGTTTTTGATTTACACAATGTTTATTACTACCCACACTAGTTTATCATTTTATGGGAGAAGGTATACTTTCAAAAAATGTCTAGACTTCTAAAACCTCTTCTCATATACTGACACATTAACCTTTGAAATAAATAATAGTTTCTGACTTGAAAATTTTAATCAATAAATGGCAATTCTAGCACCTACAAAGGGAGATTTCTGCTACGAAACTGTATATCCTTTAAACCCTCTGCCACTATTTATTTATCACCAGGGCCCATACAAAATGATCAGTTTCTTACTCTGAGGTGAGAGCTGTGGGAAATAATACACTTACCATGTGGGCATTGAGCTGCTCCCTGGCCGTTTCTGGCAAACCTCCCAGGGGTTTAGATGCTAACAGATGGCGCTCTGTGTCAGTCAGCCACTGCTGCAAATCCTCAATTTCACCATGAAACCCTTTGGCCTAGAGTGACAGAGAGTTTTGAGTTTGGGCCATAAACATAGTCACTTCCAAGCAGAAAACAAGGTTTAAATAATCCAGACTGCTAAGCTCTTCATGAATTCTTAAGAACAGCCAGGTGCCCCTAGGTTTGCCTTGCATTTCTTCTTCAGGAGAGTGCTACTAGATAAGGCTATTACACTAAGAACTAGAGAGCTGTGTTCTCATCAGCTCTACTCTTTATCCCATTTATTTTTACTCTTCTCCTTGGGGGAGAAAAATTAAGCAGGGGCCTGTAAGCCAATGAAAGAATTCCATGCTAATTTGGTCTTGAAGGCTATAGAAAATTTCAGAACGTATTCTCTTATTCACCTGGCGCAAGGCACCATCCAGCTGCTGCTTCCTTTGTTCTGTTTTTTCCAAAACATTTTGCCAGCGTTGATTTAAAACCTCCAGTTTGTTCTGAAGGCTGCTTGCTTCTTCTCCTGCACTTGATTCAATTAGATCATTTCCTGCTTTATTAACAGCTTCCACTGTGGACTGATGCGCTAATACATCATTTTGGAGCACCTGAAAATATTAGGATAACAATATGGCTGCAAGTTTATAACATTTTAACATCACTTTTAATGCTATTGTTTGATTTCCTGGTTTTGGAAAATTCTGAAACAAAAGCATCATATACATAGAATTTTAATGCTAATAAAGTTTTTAAAGATGAGACTTCTTTTCCCTTACCTTTGCAGCTTTCCTGTCTACCAACAACCCCTGAAATGATTATGTGAGACAACTGCTAGTTCTTCCCATTAGAATAGCTTTGCAATTAAGGACATTAAGTAACTAGGCATTATGATTAAAAGTCTCTAAGAGAGTTCATTCAATCCAAGTTCATTTTAATTGAACTTTATTTTAACATTTTAAGTAAACAATTTAAAAGATATTTGTTTCTATATATTCACTTTCAAATATGAAATTATTACATTTCTAAGAAAAACAGCACCATGTTTTACAATTAGCACTCTAAAAGGCACAAATTGTCATGTAATATTCTTTTATCTTCTCTCATTGGAATGGTGCTAGAACTAAGTTGACAGGAATCTTGGGAAGCTTTAATACTAAAGGGAAAGAGGTTAGTTTCCCTGTGTATCAGGGATACTCAAGCCCAGCATTCCAAAGTCAAGCTGTTCTTTTAGTAGAAAATGCACATATGACATTCTTTCTACTCGCCCCAGTAAATAATGCCTTTCTATTCTGCTATACAGTGGAAATACCAGCATGGGTTAATAACACTTAAATGTACTAACATAGGGCAAGAGTGATTACATACAGAAAGCTACTGCAAGGCTAAAAGGATCAACTTTTATCCTGAAAAGAATGATAAGAATTACATTTTAAAGAACAAATACAGCTTAGTAATATTTCCTTTGAGGAAGACTGTGGTTTCGTTTTTGGAAACCAGATGAACCCCTCTTCTAATGTATATAAGAGTTGATAACCCTTCTCCACGTTGACTGAGGGCTGTCAATGGGAAAGAAAAAAAAAAACATCGTCTCCTGTCCTAGGTAAGGCATGTTGCATCTGGAGGGAAATGCAGACCAGGGGGGATTTTCACTAAGGGCACTACTCATCCACAACCACCGTTTCTCTGTATATGCTCATTTCTGAGGCAGCTGGTGAGGAAGTGATTTTCAGACTATAAAATCAACTGAGTAAGAAGTCTTCTTTATAATAAGCATGAGCTTTGGTATGTTAACACTAGGAATCACCTTTGAAAGGTAAGATTTAAATATTCTCATGGACAAAATATAAAAAAATAATTCTATAAAATGCATTCTTCTAAATGGTCCAAGTCCTACATAAGCCACAACCCAGGAGAAGGAGGCATGAGAGAGAAGGCAACACTTCCTCCCTCCCTCCCTGCAGCATCTGTGCTGGCAACCCTGAGTCCTGTAACTGCTGACCTTTGAGAAATGAAAGAAGGATCCATTTTTAACTGCTCAAAGATAAATAAACAGAAATGAAAGGTCCCCAACTCATCACTCACAACAATAACTGGATCATGGTGGCTCATTTTTCCATCTTTACTATATTCCATAGAGTTCTCATCACTGATGTATGTGACTCTTTAGGACAATTGCTAGGTTATGAAATGTAAATGCTATGAACCCTCACTATGAGAATAAACATGTTGTGTTTACATGCAGAGTCAGTCTGACTACTCATTACTGCTCTTAGTGAAGATATAATATAGACATTAAATAACGAGAAGTATTAATGATGCGTAAGTTCTAACTGCTTAATCAAATATGGTTGGGCAATGACTATAAATATAGACAGAACAAGGTTAAAAAAGGGAGAAAATTTTAAATTAGAAAAAAATTACCGTGGGAAAGGGCATGGAAGAAGGAGAACTAAAGTAAGAACAGTCAAAAACTGTGTATCATAATCTTAGAGTGCTAAAAAACACCTTTTACTTCTAAACGCTGTTAAACATGTAAAACAATCAAACTTTTTCTATTTGATAACCAATGAAACTTATTTAAGGTTAGGATTTAGGATCTAACAAATAGATACCACTATTAATGGGAATGGTAGGGTTCTATGAAAGACTGTTGAATGTCAGGGTAAACTCTACTGAGCACATAAGCTTTTTATTCATTAAGCCTAGTAATTTAAGAGACAGGAATTTTCCATTAAGAATTATCAGTGTCACAAACAAAACAATATAAAATTCTGTTTCCTAGATCTCAAGATAAACATTTTCAACTTACAAGCTTTAAATCAAGTGCAGGACATATAAAAACTTTTAAACATAGAATTTAAAAAAAAACTAATTCATAACAAAAAGGACTAAAAACAAAAAGCCAGTGAAAAGAGAGACGGAGACAGAAAAGCAAGCCTCAATATAATGAGAGATTACAGATAGAAATATGTTAGACATGCCAAGCAAGCAGCCCGTGAGAGACCCATGGAGATAAGGGTGAACAGAGGATATACACATACAACCTGCAGTGCAACAACATCGGAATCTAGAGCTTATGAAATAGCGTATTCTCAAGAACTCTCAAAACCATGCTACACTAACCCGATGACAGGGACAACTGGGGATTTAAACTTGCATGTGTTGTTTGCCAGGCAGCTCTAATAAAATTTAGCTAGGAATTTCCCAACCTTGCTTTTTCTGATAATTTCTGCCTTGAGCAATGAGAAAAATATTTTTACAGTCTTTTAAGAAATGTTTTAAGAAGTATAACCTTTAGTTATAAATGTCAAACACAAACTTGTGCTAAAATTACAAACTTGAAAAATACATAAAGCATGGAGAGAACTGGAGAGTATTATGCGACGTGAAATAAGCCAGGCGGTGAAAGACAAATACCATATGATCTCACCTATAAGTGGAACCTAATCAACAAAACAAAAGAGTGAGCAAAATAGAACCAGAGACAGGGAAATAAAGAACAAACTGACAGAGGCCAGAGGGGAGGGGAGAGTGGGATAATAGGGGAAAAAAGGGAAGAGTCAAGTAAAGGAGCTTGTATAAAGGACCCATGGACAAAGACAGCGGGTGGAGGGGGCTGCAGGCGGGGAGGAGGACTAAGTGGGGAAGGGGGTGTGTGGTCAAGGCAAGGGACAGTAATGGCGGGAAAGTGAGGACAACTGTAATTCAACAATAAAAAAAATTTTTAATTAAAAATAGAAAAAATTTAAAAAAGAAAAAGAAAAATACCTAAAGAAGATACATAAAAAATTGATGAAACCAGAAATACACAGAGAAGAAACATAATATGCAAAAACAGCTACGTACATGATGCTTGGCAAGTTCAATTTCAATGGCCTTAGGGTCACCTCCAACAGGTTTCTGTTCACTCAGCAAGCCCTCGGTGTGTGTCAGCCACGCCAACAGCTCATCGAGAGCATGTTGGAACTGTCCCAGGGCTAACAGGGCACCCTCCAGCTTATGCTACCGAAAAAGAAGAGAGGAAAAAATCATGTATGAATCTGTTATTAAAAATAACATACATTTATAAAATAAGAGCAACAAATCAATTGTTTCATGCAGCGTAAGTCCGTAAGCATATCCAGTGAAGCCCAATTATCATATACTTCTACATTCTCAGTTCAAAATGCTTTATGGTTAAAACATGGCATATGAGAAGCAGAAAGAGTTCTGAAATAAGAGAATTTAGGGGGCTTCAAAAGTTTATGTATGTATTCACTTAATTTTAGTTTCTAATAATTATTTTACATTAATACATAAAATTGAAATTTTATAAATTCTTAACAAAAGTGTTGTTGTTTACCTGCCGGTTAATAATTCTCTCATCCAGACTATCCCATATCAATTTCAGTTCCATTAATGGGTCTTGGACAGTGTGTTTGTCACTTTCTTCTGTTACTTTCTTCAGCAAAAGTTCTGCTTGATGGTTCAGTCTTTCCATTTCTATCTGTTGTTGATAGGCCTCTGACTTAAATTGCTATTTTTTAAAAGAAATATACAAGGAAAATGTGTTATAAATCAGTAACATTAAACAAAAATAAGTCTATGAGTTAGATCTTTATTCTAATTCATACTTCTTATTGTGGGGCAGGTGGGGTGAAAAGGAATTAAAATGTAACACACAGTTTACTAATAAAAGAGTTATAGATTAAAAAAGGGGAAATCTTTTTTCTTTATTCAGTGTTTCTGATGGAAAGATGTTTTTATTTATAATTTTGTTATTTCACTTTTTGCAGTTTATAATAAAAAAATAAACAAATTTCAAGGATGAATTTATTCTAATGTCTAATTATAATATTCAATAAATGAACTTTGAAATTATAAAGAGGAAAAAATAAAAAGATCTCTAAGAACCTCAAATTAATATTCTTGCTCAAATATATATACGTATCTTATATCCACTGAACATTTTGTTTTCTGTGCTGTGTTCATTAATATTTAGTTTTCCCTATGACTCACCTGTGGCTGACTCAGAATAACATTATTCTCTCTCCTAGTGCTTACTGACACATATTAGCAGTCTTGCCTTTGCCAATCCACACAGGTTAACAAATGGTTGCTTGTAATAGGAAACTGTCCTTTTATAAAATATTTAATGTGTAATAGTAAATAATTAAATAGTAATTAATGATTAAGAAGGCCCATAATTTTTCAAACATATAAAAATAATTTAAAAATAATAACTATGGTAGAGTGAACACTTGTTATGTTCAACTTACTTTCAGTAAACCAATAAAGAAAATAATTTTATTCTCAATTTAAGCTAAGGACACAGAAGAGAGACCAGGTAGATAATTTTCCTGAGCTCACTTAGCTAGTAAGTGGATGAACTGGAATGTAATCTCAGTCAACCTAATTTCAGAGACAGCCTTCCTAACCCGCCTGCCATACAAAAATCACTGAGATATATGTAATTATCCAAAATATAGTCCTCCACAGCTGTAAATGTATATAAAGTATATGATGTGTTACTACATTATCAAATAAAAAAAAATCCCAATATAATGATGATAACAGTAAAATTCTTTTAAAAAATCCCACATTTTTTCTAAATCGAATATTCTGTTATCATGCTTGGAGATGAAAATGCTACAACTTTTAAAGCCAGGTAATAATTTTCCATAAAAAGCCAATAGAGTTCATTGAAAATGATGTGATTAAAAGCCCGGGACCAGATGGTTTCACAGGAGAATTCTACAAAGCATTTAAGGAAGAGCTAACCCCTATCCTTCACAGACTATTCCAAAAAATCCAAAAAGATGGGAATCTCCCAAACTCTTTTTATGAGGCCAACATCATCCTAATTCCAAAACCAAATAAAGACACAACAAAGAAAGAAAACTTCAGGCCAATATCACTGATGAACATTGACGCTAAAATCCTCAACAAAATACTGGCAAACCGCATCCAACAATACATTAAAAAGATTATACACCATGACCAAGTGGGATTCATTCCAGGGATGCAAGGATGGTTCAATATACGCAAGTCAGTAAATGTAATACATCACATAAACAAAAGCAAAGACAAAAAACCACATGATCATATCAATTGATGCAGAAAAAAGCATTTGATAAGGTACAGCACCCATTCATGATAAAAACACTCGGAAAAGTGGGAATAGAGGGAGCATTCCTCAACATAATAAAGGCCATATATGAGAGACCTTCAGCCAACATCATTCTCAATGGGCAAAAATTAAAACCTTTTCCATTAAGATCAGGAACAAGACAAGGCTGTCCACTTTCACCACTTCTATTCAATATAGTACTGGAAGTTTTAGCCATAGCAATCAGACAAGAAAAAGAAATAAAAGGCATCCAAATCGGAAAGGAGGAAACAAAACTGTCATTGTTTGCAGATGACATGATAGTGTACGTAGAAAATCCTATAGACTCTACCAAAAAACTGCTTGACCTAATAAATGAATTTGGCAAAACAGCGGGATACAAAGTCAATATCCAGAAATCAAAGGCATTTCTGTACACCAACAATGAAACAGCAGAAGCAGAGATCAAGGAAAAAATCCCATTTGAAATAGCAAAAAAGAAAAATAAAATATCTAGGAATAAACCTAACCAAAGAGGTAAAAGACCTGTATTCAGAAAACTACACAACACTGAAGAAAGAAATCAAGGAAGACACAAACAAATGGAAACATATACCGTGTTCATGGATTGGAAGAATTAATATCATCAAAATGTCCATACTACCCAAAGCAATTTACACATTCAATGCAATTCCTATTAAAGTACCAATGGCATATTTCACAGACATAGAACAAACACTTCAAAAATTTATATGGAATTATAAACGACCCCGAATAGCTGCTGCAATATTGAGAAAGAAGAGTAAAGTAGGAGGGATCCCAATACCCGACACTAAACTATATTACAAGGCTACTGTAATCAAAACAGCCTGGTACTGGCATAAAAACAGGCACATAGACCAATGGAGCAGAACAGAGAGCCCAGAAATAAGCCCAAGTCTCTATGGTCAATTAATATTTGACAAAGGAGGCAGCAACATAAAATGGAATAAAAATAGCCTCTTCAACAAATGGTGTTGGGAGAACTGGGCAGCCACGTGCAAAAAAAATGAAACTTGAGCACCAACTTACACCATATACAAAAAATAAATTCAAGGTGGATAAAAGACTTAAATATAAAACATGACACCATTAAAGTCCTAGAGGAGAACGTAGGTAGGAAAATCTCAGATATTTCATGAAGAGACTTTTTTAATGACGTGTCCCCTAGAGCAAGGGACATAAAGGAAAGAATAAACAAATGGGACCTCATCAAAATTAAAAGCTTCTGCACAGCTAAAGAAAACAGTATGAAAATTAAAAGAGAACCAACTGTATGGGAAAACATATTTGCCAATGACACCTCAGACAAGGGTCTAATCTCCAAAATATATAGAGAACTTACACGACTGTACTCTAAGAAGACAAGGAATCCAATTAAAAAGTGGGCAAAGGACTTGAACAGACACTTCTCCAAGGAGGACATACAGAATATCCAAAGACACATGAAACGATGCTCAATATCGCTAGCTATCAGAGAGATGCAAATTAAAACCACAATGAGATACCACTTCACACCAGACAGAATGGCCATCATAAACAAAGCAACAAACAACAAGTGTTGGAGAGGTTGTGGAGAAAAGGGGACCCTAGTGCCCTGTTGGTGGGACTGCAGACTGGTACAACCACTATGGAAAGCAATATGGAACTTCCTCAGAAAACTAAAAATGGATCTGCCTTTTGACCCTGCAATTCCACTGCTGGGACTCTATCCTAAGAATACTAAAACACCAATTCAAAAGAACCTATGCATCCCAATGTTCATAGCAGCACAATTTACAATAGCTAGATGCTGGAAGCAACCAAGATGCCCATCAGTAAACGAATGGATCAAAAAACTATGGTACATTTACACGATGGAATTCTATGCAGCAGAAAGAAAGAAGGAGCTCCTACCCTTTGCAACAGCGTGGATGGAGCTGGAAAACATTATGCTAAGCGAAACAAGCCAGGCAGTGAAAGACAAATACCATATGATCTCACCTTTAACAGGAACCTAAATAACAAAACAAAGAAACAAGCAAAATGTAACCAAAGACACTGAAATAGAGGACAGGCTGATGGTGACCGGAGGGGAGAGAAGAGGGAATTTAAGGGGGACAGTGGGAAGGGTTCACAGGAACAAACTTAAAGGACACATGGTCATAGACTAAGGGGAGGGTGGTAATGGGAGGGAAGTGGGGAGGGTGGGAGGGGGGACTTGATTGGGAGTAAAAAGGAGAAAACTGTATATGACCAATGATTAATAATAAAAAAAAAAAGTTAAAGACAAGGTATTTTGGATGCAAATTAAAATATTCTTTGTATAAACTGAGTCTTAACACAAAACAATCCAAATCCTCTCTTATAGTGAGCCAAATTAATAGCTAATGTAATGTAAATAAAAATTACATGAACAGAAATCAGTTAAATATAAAAAATGTGAAAGATTTAAACATATAAATTTTAGTTTAGCATCATTTAAATCTCATAACAAAACCTAAATATTGAAGATGTCTGAAGAAAAAGTTTCTTATGGAAATAATTATATTTAAATATTATCAAATACATTTTATTCTGAGAGTCCTAGCATTATAATGTGGTAAAATATAACCCAGTGTAAAATTTCCATTGTAATGATATAACATGATACAGTAAGATGAATATGTCCTTGTAATCCAGCGAAATGGTCAGTGAATTCATCAGTGTATTACAATTATGTGACTTCATGCAATTATCTTTGTGAGTCTCGGTGTTCTCATACAGGCATTAAATTCCAAGTGTGAATGGATGTGTGTGTGTGTGTGTGCATGTGTGTGTGATTAAATTACATTTCAGAAAGCATATGTAACAGAATTTTTCAGTTGGCTACCTATCTTTGTTTATAAACGCAACAAATGAAGTGTCATATGAAAATAAAATTGTGTTTCCTTCCAAAAAAAAAAAAAAAAAAGAAAATGATGTGATGTGTCTGTGGATGGACACAAAATTCGGAAAGAAATATCTGATCCCACTTTGATAAGTGACCAACACAGAGGATACAAAGAGAAAGCCAGCCATTTTCACAGCTGGAGATAAAGAACCCCAAGAGGAAAAATTAAAGAGGAAGGCGGATGGAAAACAAGACACATTTACAAAACAAACATTTTGAGAAACATAATTATCCTATGTGTGGCTCTTTAGCCCATAAAACTAAATTAATTATTCTGAATACAATAAAGAAAATAAAAATGTTGCTATATGTATATTGACAATAATAAAATATCAAACAATGAAGTTATAAAAATCCTTACAGTATTATCTACATATGTATAAAATACACATACGTTCCCTATACCTCATCCTGCCCCCTACGTGAGGATGTCTGAAAGGCTATAAACCATAACTCAAGTGTGGTTGTCTCTGGGGATATAACATTGAGTGGCAAAAAAAAAAACACCTTTTTTGCTTCTTTGTATTTCCCAATTTTTCTAGAAGAAATAGCTACTGATTTAATAAGAAGAAAACCACCAATATTTTATATTCTTGAAGGAACACTTACGTAGTGCTTATTAGGTACAGGTACTACATTAAACCAGTTTCATAATCAAAATGTGCTTCAATTATGGAAAATAAATAAATTTGTGTAAAGAATCCTGTGAATCAGAAACTTAAAAAATGTTAAGTCTTTGATACATTAGCCCCTACCCATACCTTTAACTCTTCAATCTGCTGCTTCACAGTTTCAAGATCTGTTCCGATTGGAGACATTGAAGCTAATTTGCCACCTGCAATATCTACCCAGTCGAATATTGCCTGAAAAACACATTAGTCCATGTGTTATTGTAAAAGTACATTTGAAATTGCTTCAATATTTAGATGTCATAGAGAAGTACAATTATAAACCTGTAAAGATATTATGCAATGCATCTATTTCACAAATCATAAAGAAGGTTCATCTAAATAGGTAAAAGCAGCAGCATACTGAAACAGTTGACCACAATATGAATTAGATGTAGCCTCCAATTCTGTATCCAAGTTTGCAAAGGAAATTCTATTTTGAGTAGAATGTTAGAATATTACGAACTTAAAGAAAATGTTCATTTGAAAAAAGTTTTATAAATTCAATCACAGGAAATAAAATTCTCTATGTTCTCTTATGTTCCTCTAAAAGCAGATTGCATAAATATAGGGTCTGGCACAAATAATACCCCTTGTTTTTTATAAAATCTTTTATTATAAAATCATAAGCATGTAACTCTGTAACATAACAATATCACACTCAAGCACACCGTATGACATTTTAGGTGAAATGTTCAAGTTAAAACTGTAAATTGTTACACCCATATTAGTGCCCTACCAACCGCATTCATACAGGCATTACTTCTGCCGGGCCCTGTGTATTGAAAGAAAAAGATTCAAACCCATGTGCTTATTCAAGCAATCAAGAAGTTTATTGTTTGGCATGGAGAAAAATATTTGGCTCAACTAAACCCTTGTGCATCATTTAGATTAGTATTAAAATCCAGCATATGTAATGATTAATATTAAGACCGTTATTGTGAATTGCAACATAGACTTCAAAATCTTTTTTTCTTGTTATTTTTAGGTAATATAAACATTCTAAAAAGGCTCAACTCATATTTTTTTCACATACTGAATACACAAAATTATTTTGCACTTTAATGAAGTTGCCAGACCAGAGAGTAGGGAGAAAATTCATGGAAAATATCTGATCTTTTCAAGTTATAATGAATAAATCCTAAGAACTTAAACAGCAACCTGGGAAATAAGTTTATTTTACTTTACAACCCCTCTTGAAACCTCTGGGACTTCTAGAGCTTTCAGCCTCTGGCTACAGCTGGCCACAGCCACTTAATAGGTCAAGTTGCCCTTCATTCCCACAGGCAATCTACTAACCCAGGACGGACCTTGCTTCCACAGCAGTGGTGATGACACTGTCTGAATCACAGTGTCTAGCCTGCAGGCTCCTATGTTAATGGCTCCTGAAGTCAAATGGCTGTAAGTGGTGACAGTGACATCTCTAGCCAGGAAAGAAGGGCCAACTCAAGGACTTAGCAAAGCACATGAAAAATCATGATGTGGCTTCACAGACTGAGAACCGGAGCTTGATTAGGTACTGGTCAGTGATATCTAACCAATAATTTATCACTTTAGGGTAAAAAGGAAAGGGTATGGAGGGGAAAAGTTATATTTAATAAGATCTTATTTGTAGTGAATTTTTTCATCTATTTCCAAGGTTCAAAATGGTTTCAGCTGGCATAAAGCCTGGCTTATGATATTTATTTTTACAAATATAGAAATGGAGTGGCATAATAAAAAGGAAAAGATGTTCTCATCTGAGATTTAAAAATAATATTCACTTGGTGTTATGGAAATACTTTTTCCATATGGTAAGAGGGATAAAAGACTAAACTCTTGCCGGCCTTAACATTAGAGAAAGGAAGAAAGTTAAAGAAGGTAGGGCAAGAAATAGCCCGGAGTTGGCCTCAACTGACAAGATAACTTTTAATATTAAAAAAAAACCCTTAAAAATGGCTAATGAACTGAAGGAGAACCCTGAAGGGACAGGAAAACAACTATTAAAAGGAATTATGTATATGAAAAGAAGAAAACAGATTATGACCTAATAAACTAGAAATCTATTTGAGTTCCTAGGGAACACTGGCTTCAAATCAAATTTCTTTACTTGTGACTTTGGTTAAACTTGGTGGTATTTTTAGATGGTGTTTACTCCTTTCATCTTACCCCACTCAACTTCAGAACACAGGCCAGATTCAGTTCGATCTCAGTGTCTGGTGCTAAGCCATTTAGGAAAACACTGTGTGGGAATATTTCCCTTAACTTAAAAAAATTAAAATACTTCTTTTCAAAGGATATTTCACAGAATGTGTGTATAAAAACACATTTAAATGGGTATATAAGTCTATACCTACTTCAAGTGACAGAAATACCTCCTAAGGGCAAACACTCATTGAAGCGGGTGAGGAGACGGCACACACCTTTGCAGCCCCGGGAGACGCTGAGTGTACATCTGCAGACAAGAGTCAGCATGATTCCCGCTCCCAGCAGGCACACTGCGGTCCCCTTACCTGCAGTCCATCCTGGTACTGAACAGCAGCCTGCATCGCCTCCTCGAGTCTCTCCACCCGGTCTTTCCACGCTTTATTTAGAGAATCCCATGCTGAATTTAACTACAACAAGAACATTAGAACTCTTTTATTGTCTTACGTTTTCAAATACTTCTACCAAACATGATTTAATGAAATTTTTAAAAATAGCATTCTGATAAGAGCAGAAACTGTGCTAGTTATACCTCATCTATGCTCTTCTTGACAATGGGTTTATCAGGCTCTCCACATGCGGCGATGAGTTCAGAGCCCAGGTTAACAACTATATCCAGCTCTTCCTGTAGTCCATCTATTTCTTCCCGTATGGCCTAGAATGAGAAATGGCAGCCTTAGAGTTTTAAGCAAAACTATACTAACACTGAAAAGATGCACACAAACATTAATGGTAGTTATTTCTAGGAGTAGGGTTATGATCAATTTTTGTTTTCTAAGTTTCTGGAATAAATCCTTTCAATGAGAAAAGATAACAGGAGAATATTTAAAGAAATAAGCATACTTTGAGTTACAAATGTCAAATGTTTATTAAAAAGATAATATTTAGGAAATAATTCTCTGTAATATACTAGAACAAGTTTTTTTTAAAAAAATACAAACACAACAATACTAAAAAGCATAGAAAGACACTGCTTTTCAAACTGACTTGTTTGGCAATACATATATAAAACAGACATAAGTAAAACATGAGTTCAAAGACCTCACACCAAATAATGTGTTTAATAGAGCCAAGAAAGCCTAGCTCTGGATTTATGTTTTCACCCTGGTGCATGTAAATTACAAACAAAACAAACAAAAACTGTGACAGAAGCGCAGTATTTTAACTTTGCTTTTATCTTCTTAGTTAAATATAATGATTGATTCAAGAAGCCTTTATGAAGCATGAAACAAATCCTAAACAAGGTGTTGAGAATGCCAAGATAAACAGGTATATGACCATTCTGCTCACGGGGCTTTGAGTCCATTAAGAAAGACAAAGTTACAATCAATGATAAGTCATACTACGCTCAGATTCTTTGCATGAGGAACTATTATGGGGACACAGACTAACTCTGCTAAGTACACAAGAGAAGATTTTACAGAGGGTAACTATCCAACTGACCCTCAGAGTCTGAGCAGGATTTGCCAGCAGAGTGGTAAGGACATTCAAAGGTGAGAAAATAAAATGTGCAAAGATACAGATGCTAGAAAGAGTACAGCAGTTCTGGGGAAAGCCACATGTGTGCCAGAAGAGAGGGTGCTTGGTAAAGGGACAGCAGGAAAAAAACTGCCCTGGAAACACAAGTACAGGCCACCTAGGACGTAAAGGCTCATACCCTGTTCTAGGGAGTTTGGACTTTGTGCGGTAGGCTGTGAGCACCTCCGAGGGGTTTCAAGTAGCAACACAATAAGAGCAGACTTAGGGAGATGACTGGGAGCAAGGTTGGAGGCCTGGCAAGGAAAGCCTTTAGAAACCACGAAAGATAATGAGGTCCTGACATTAGACAAAAGCAGCAGAGATGGAGAGTGATCTTAAAATACATACTCCTACTATATATATATCACTATGCATTCCACTTTCAGATCCAAATATAAATTTTAATGAAGTAATTCTGAATATTTACCCAAGGGATCCACATTGTACTACAACTTATTTCTTCACTTTAAATGGTATACACTGCTCACCTCTGCTGCTTCCTGCTGTTGTTTCACTACTGAGGGATCAATTCCAGGTTCCTCCAGATCCCGGATGAAATCTTGAGTATCTTTAGTGGTAACTACCAATGACATGTGATCACACCAGAACTTTTCTGCTAATTCCATCACGTCCAGGAGTTTGGCTTCCCTTTCTTCCACCAGCGTGTGTATGTTCTCCCAAACGAAAACCATTTGGTCAAGCTTATCCTGAACAGCTGTGGGAGCAAAACAATGTCAAAAAGGCCGCATGTTAGCCCCATTTAAGCAATAAAGCAGAACATTTTGGTTCACACAGAAATGGTGATTCAATACAGTATCTGAAATTGGACCAAATTATGGTTGATCCCAGTTTAGAGAGGACCACGGGCCCAATGGCCTATTCCAGACAAATGTAAGATTGGAGGATGTCCAGCTCCTCCTGAACCAAGACTCTTCCTGATGAAAGTGGGTCTTCAAAGGCAAGTGAGCCCAGAGTAGACCCAAGTCCATCGACTTTCAAGTTCACCAAGGCTGGCCTTAATTCTAAGGAAAGTGAAATAACCACCCAAGTATATTCTTTATGCTCTCCAATCAAGAGTAAAGATGTCTGTTCAGTCCCAGGAATATAACAATGTAGGATATGCATTCTGGGCTTGTTTCTAGAATATTTTTAACATGAATTCCCACTAACCTATGCGCATGCTTTTCTTTTGACCCCCAGCTCATATCTTTAAGGACAGCTGGTTGTGGTCATGGTTGCCATTCCTGTGACTATCAGAGAGAGCACCCATCATGTAAGGCAGTGTAGTTAGTAAAGAGGAAAAAATCCTTTGGGTTAGTCTTACTGGTGTTATGCTTTAATCAACAGGTTTCAAAGGTCTGGAGAATGTGCGGTTTTTGTATAATGGCACACTTTGTACTTAACCCATTATTTTACAAACACAGGAAGACATTAACAAGGGATTAAAGTACACAGCCCTTCAATCCCAAACATGTCATACCTGTAATACCTTTTCTGATGTCTGGCACCCTGATATACAATTGGACTGCCAGTAAATAGCACGAACATTTAGAATTGTTTTAAAAGTAAAATTCAATTGTTTCCTTAACCTGAAATTATTACCTTTGGCAGAAATGTCTTTATCAGTGCCCCCAGACCGAGCAATCATTTCCTCTCCCCTCTGTTTAAGAGTTTCGTACAATGGCTGTAGCTTCTCCATGTCTACTGACACATTCTTGTTTTCACTGATCTGCTCCTTGATCTTCTCCACCTCGGCAGAGATAGAGGGTGGCTGCCTCAAGCGCTCCGCAATGCGATCCAGGCTCTCAAGAATCTGGTCTATCTTGTCATGGAACTAGCAGCAAAATAAAGGGATCACTTAGTGAGAAAAGATCTGTGATATCAAATGTGAAAATTTAGATGAAAAGGAAAAACATCCATTTAATGTCACAATCAAGAACTAAATTTCAGTCCTTTGGTTGACATATCCATCCAAAGAATTATATATAGCTGGTGTATCAAGATTTCCTCAAGTCGTGGCCCTCTCTGCACCACACCATTCATGTAGACTAGAATGCTTCTTGCAAATAATTGAGTGTATTCATTAAGAAATGGTGTATTTTAATGTGTAATGGAACTCTCTCAACAGCATCTCATCTACTGTTTCGCCTTGTTATTTTAATTCTAGTCTTGTAAGGTAAGCTCAATAATCTGGGTGTCTGTCTATCAAAACTAATTGTCTTATTTGCTTTTACTGACTGTTTTAGCACCCTAAAAATTTATATTAATAAATGTGAAATTCATGAGCATTTTTGATTAAAGGAATTTCTTAAAAGTTTCCTGAACTGAAAAAATGTTAAACCTCCCATGTTTTAATGAGAGTTTGTATTTATGGTAATTCAGGATCAAACACATTAATGGAATTAATCAGATTAATGAAACTAATCAGATTAATGAAAGAATTTTAAACTTCTGTTTGCAAAGGTACCACAGATAATGAAGCAGAGTTATAAAAACTTGTTAATTCATAGATTCTACACTATTCTCAATATTAAAGGAATCATCACTCACTTAGGATTATAGAAAATGGACCACTCTAATGTCAGTATATCTAATAATAAAAGCCAAATCTTGAAAATGGAAAACTTCCAGGTAATTTTAAATGCAACTTCTTAAAAGAGATATCTTCAAAAATTTTTTAAAAATCATTCTGCAGCTTGATGTCTTTTCCTTCTTACTCAGCCCGTCATTCTCACTTTTTATTGCCTTCTTGGGAGTGTTTTATTCATAATGACAGTAAGGCTTTCTTTTATTTCTCCCAATGGCAAATACTGCATACTATTTGTACTCTTATTTAAATATTTGGACAATGTGGACAAAACTATAAATTTCTCAAGCCATTGAAAATTATGTTTTTATTTTATCTATAAGCAGGCAGAGAAATATTAGGACTGGACCAAAGGAACTATCACTTTTGAGAGACAAAGATATCAATACTCTAAAGATAATACAGTGAAATAATTGTAGTTGAAATTTAATCAGGAGGTCCGGGAAAATCTTTCCATACTCTGTTGTTTGGAAGAACCCAATCTTATTTCTGGCGCAAACGATTACCTGAGTAGATTGAGAAACGGCTTCATCCAGTGCCACAGCTCGCTTTTTGACATCTTCTTTAATTTGACTGTAAAGGGTGTCAGCTGCCACATACTTCTCTTGGATAGAAAAGCCCTCCTCTGGGCTCAATTCCAATAATTGCGGGCCGGTTTTGTTCATCTTATCTATATGAGGCTTGTGTTCAGCTATCAACTCTCGCAGTTGCTATAACAAACCAAACAGCTTCTCAGGATCTCAGGGTCAACACTCCATATTACAGTTGCCTACAACCCCAAGGCACTCAGCTAGCAAAACTCCAAACAAACAACGTACCCTCACAAGGCATTTAATACACGATGGCTTATACAACTCTGCCAGAAAGAGGTGCCCCTGACACCAAGATTAAACAACAGTTTGGTCATGTCGAAGTCCACATACAAATGTTGGTTGAGTGAAATATCAAACCCCAGTTCATTATACATTTCATATCATCATATATTTTGACAAGAGTATTAGCCAAGGGTCACATTACATAAAAGGATTCTAAACTTACTGTTTGTTCCCAACCTGCAGAGACCAAGCCATAATAATAACAACTCTTGGTGTCCCTTTATACACAATCATGATATACACAAAAAATATTTGAAAGAAAATAAGAAGGAAAAAAGAAGGAAAGGAGGGAGGAAGAAAAAAAGAAGGAAAGAAGGAAGAAAAAAAGGAAGGAAGGAAGGAGAAATAATTTCAGTAGAAGATAACCACAATGCTGAGAGAAAAAAATACGATGCACAAAGCTACATTAGGTGATATAAGCCCACGAGGCATTGTAATTATATGTAAACCAATATAAAATGCATACATATATTACATGACATGTATATGTATGTATTAATCTAGTCTATGTACATATATGATAACTACAACAAATGATTTGTACTTAATTTTAAAATGTTAAAGACTGCAAGGATAATCAATCTATCAAACACAGCTCTATACTGAGCACTACTTGTAAGGTGTATTTAAAGAAAAACGTGATGTATGAGTACACTGAACAATATCTAATCAATAGACTCAATGATATTTATATTAATGAGTGGGTGTAAAATCCAAGTGAAGTCCCATTCTTTCTAAGGAGATGAATAAATCTGCAATATCTACACGCCATGGAGTACAGGGCTTCCACTGAACACATTCCATGGGCCTAATCCCAAACCACTCTTGGGGGAAAGCTCAGTCACTGCCTGCAGGTTTCGCTGAGACCAGCCTCCACGCACCACTGAGGAGTGCTCCAGTTACTCCACGTTATTCATTTGGTTCACTAAGCAGCAGTTCCTTGTTCTCACCAGAAGGTAGTCCCCAAACTGTCTGCTATCTAGCCCAAATAAAAGCTTCTCTGAGAGAAATTATATTCAGGGAAGACAGTCTAGAGAAAGCTACCAATCTTTTCCTATAAATATTTTACTATCATTCAAGAAGAATCACCAGGATAACCACATACCAATTTTATTGAAAGTACCCAATAAAATTGGTTGAGAAATTAGTTTGAAAATTTTTGAGAACATTACTTTATTAGATTATTAACAATCTCCAATGTAATACACTATAGTTGAAGTTTTTCTGAATGTGGTCTCAAAACTCTTTTGAAAAGAGCTAAGTAACTACAAATTCAATTTTTTAAAAAAGGAAGGGGTCTAATTTAACATGCTGCACATAAATGTAGGAGGGTCGTGTCTGCAGTCTAGTTCCTGGGTGGCCCAGGCTGTGATCTTCTTATTTGTATTTATATTGTATTATTAGACATAGCTTCATGCTGCTTTACAGACTAGAGGTGGCAATGGTAATACTGGCCAACATATAATCTAATGGAAAAGAAATGTGTTACACACATTTTGGTTTCAATATTCTATGAGGCATATTTGTAAAACAATCTCAAGTAAAATGAGAGATCAAAAAGTTTTTTCTTTTAATTTTTAAAAGTTTATTAAGTTTTTAAAGAGAGGAAGGGAGAGAGAGAGGGAGAGTGAAACACTGATTTTTTTTAATCTGCTTATTTATGCATTCATTGGCTGATTCTGTATGTGCCCTGAGGGACTGAACCTGCAACCTTCGCATATCAGGATGACATTCTAAACAGCTAAGCTACCCAGCCAGGGCAAGAAATCTAAGAGTTCTTCAGTTGCCTAGAGTCTAAGTAGATCTCATTTTTGTAACACTAGTATGAGACACCTTTGCTTGGGAAGTAGTGAGATGAGCCTCTGTAAGTCCATTTCATGAGGGACAAGTGAATGCCTCCAAGATGCCTATTTGGGTATTTGTGTGTATATGGGGAAAGGGCCCAACAGTAGATGCCTTCTGCTTCAATAGTAACAAAATGATTCTTGGCATCCTACTACCATATGAGTCCAGCATATGAGTGTTGGAGAAACCCAATGTAACTTCAATATATCTACCATTTGGTAAGATGGCTCTTGGAGCCATTTTTTTTCTTGGCTAGCATGAATTAGAAGGTATTTCCAAAAATAGCTGAAGAGGATATTGTGAAGCTACAGATGGAGAGCCGTTCTAGAAGGTGGTAAATTTTCTGAACAATTTAGTTTGAACAATTTGAAAACTTGGCTACAAAGTATTATAGTTCTCCTTATATAGAAAATCATAAATTTGTTTTGAAAGCTGAAAATTATGTAAAAATGTTAACTCGATTTTGAAATTCTCAGTTCAATAATAATTGATGTTATGCTAGTAGCAAAGCTAATCAAATCTCTCCTCAGAGTAGAAGAAATCCATGAAAAATTTTATATTAAAAATCATCCAATGGGTAGGCATCAGGATTTCTGCCACAAATCAATGTTTACACTAAAATTCAATTGAATTCTACAGAGTTTGTAAGTCTCCTGCTGAATGACTTAGACAGAACTCCAAACAATTTCAATTTTATATTAAAGTGTTCTCTAAAGATCTCTTCTAAATAAATACTTTAGTTAGAGATATTCTTCAATGTCAATGCATTAAAAAAGTAAACAAACAAGATTAAAAAGTACGTCGGATACTTCAAACAATGATGTAATATACTTCTGAGTTAAACTTTACACACGCACACCCCCCAGTCAATCTCAGAGTACATCTCGTAAAGATCTGGGAGAACAACTAGGTTCAAGTATATAAGCAGCAAGAAGTCTGGATTTTTTTATGATAGTCTCGCATCCTCTTTCACTCAAACTTTTGCAAAATTTTAAGATATATTAACATTTAAGTGACCACTGGAATGAGAGCTTTTATGCCATTTTATATATTTTTTAAACATGTTAACTCTTGTAGATATAAACATGCTCTCTAGTTTACTCCTTTACAGGAGTAGACAACCTGAAAAGAGTTCCATGTACATAAGATGAAAAACGGGGAAAGAATGTCTTCATACTTCAGCATTTCTTCCTTTAACAGAGTTAGCTTTCATGACATTGCTGTTTTGTCATATTTCTTATATTGCACAATTTCTCCCAGCTCAGTGTAGCTGTGTGATGTCACCTCCATGTGTTTCTACTCTTTGCTGACATTTGATTGCTCTCACCACTACATATAAAGTATAGAACTTAGTCGATACATGTAAATTAAAACCAGTCATTATATACAAATTAAAAGTATTTCCAAAGCTTATTTCTCTAACATTATAAGTGGAAATTGTTTTCATGCCCAGATGGTTTATGCTGCATACTGTCCTATAAAAGCTGTGATATAATTAATGATATACTCAGTGTGTGGTCTTCCCACATGAGTCCTCTCACTGTAAACCTGGATAACAGGTAAGCAATTCCGAGGAAAGCAAGCTGTGCAGACCAGAACATGATTTGCTAAAATATCCTAACGATGTCAAAGGTGTCTAACTAGGTAATAGAAACAAAAAAAATTACAATTCTCTCTTTTAGTGAGGAACACAAGACTCCTTTTGATGCCGAACTTACCCGATGTTCTTCCTGTTGTTGTCTTAGAGTTTCATACTCAAGGGCAGGGGCAGGAAGCTGAGCGATGATTCTTTGTGTTTCTGTCAGCCATGGCCAAAGTTCCTCATATGTTTCCCAGAACTGGTTAACTAGGGACTGTGCCCTTTCTAGCTGTAGATATCTCTCTGAGTTTACCTGGCAGATGGTATCATAGTTCTTCAACACCTTGTCCAGTTTTTTCTAGAAATTAAGACAATGAAATGGGTTTCACTGATGAGGCAGGCCAAGTAGCGCATGCGCTCAAGAATGTTTGTCCAGCACTGAGCAGACACTCGGTAATGTATGTTAAATGCATAAACCAATAAAAGCTATTTACATTTTAACTGTCTATATTTTAAAAAGTTCATTTTTAATTAAAGAAGGGCCTTTCATGTTCACCCATGTTGTTGCATATGGCAGAATTTCCTTCCTTCTTAAGACTGAGTAATAGTATACTCTATGCTAATATTATGTGTCCTTACCACAATTTAAAAAATGTGTGTGTATGTGTATGGAACCCCCAAAAATGAAATTTATGTATAAAAATTGTGTGTTTATTCCTACATGTTTAAACTTCAGTTGCCTTCAAAGTATTCTCTATTTGATGCAATATACCTATAGAGATATTTTCTCCACTGCTCAAAACCAGTTTTTGAACTCATTGATTCTGATGCCTTTTACTGCTCCTGCTGTTTTTGATTTCACCTATTCTATATTGGTAAAATGTTCCCTTCTGAGGACTTTTTTCATCCAGGAAACAAAAAAAAATGTTGCTGGGGCCAAGATCGGGCAAATAGGGAAGGTGGGGCATGGGGGTCAAGCCATTTTTGGTGAAAGCCTGCTAAACACTCAGTAAGATGTGGACAGTTGCACTTGTAAATGACCCATCATGAAATGGGCAAATGTAATGAAACAATCTTAAAAAAAAAAAATTCACTGAAGCCAAATGCACACAGCCTCTCACAACAATGTCAGCTGGTACACTGAAACAGATGGGTTCCTAGATCATTCATTCACCTAATGGAGGAAGTCTGTACTACAAGGGGCCCGCCCTCCAGAAGGTAATTCTGGTTTTTATTTGGGGACCCCCTTCATGTATACATACATATTTATGTATGTAAAACAGAGCAAAAATGTGGAACATCTTAAAAGTACTACAGTTGAAGATCAGGCCAATAAATTGATATATTCATACAATGGAATTCTACACAATACTCAAAAATCACGGAATTTAATGACATATCTTCTCAAAAAATATATTAACTGATAAACATCAAAATGTAAATAAATAAATAAGCAAGCAAGCAAGGCCTCAAATTTTTAAGAGTAAGACACTAAGTTCTCCAAACATAATAAACAAAATTCTCCAGCCATTCTTACAATGTTTTCTAGGTTAGAAAACAAGTCTCCTGAGTCTAGAAACATTTATATTATTTCTCAAAAAAAGAAAAAAAAAGAACTACTTTTCACTAATGAAATTCTAAGAGGAACTGCTAGTCAACAAAATTAATTACATATGTTAGAATTAATGGTGAATAACATGCTACCCACTGATTTGATGGGGCAATCACAGTGATCTAGATTATGGTATAAATTCACATGATAAACTAATAGCAGAAGATAAAGCACAGCAGTAATCTAATAAATGAAGAATGAAAGAGAAATTATTTCATGATGACCTATGCTTTGCATGTCAGAATCTTTACAAAAATAATAAAGGAAAGATTAAATTATAAACAAATAAATTGCCATTGGAGAGGATAAATAAACGAGAAGTATCAATATACTTGTATAATGTGCACTGGATTACTCTACGTTATACCTTAAAAGCAATGCATACTCTTCAAAATGTGACTTAAGAATAGGTATTTGTATAATTTTGTTTTTACCATGGCATATTGTCCTACTAGAAGCGTTAATTTCATCAGGCTGTTCAGATGTCGGAATATAAATTGAACTAAACATTTTTACTGTGGCTGGTTTTTCATCAATTTAAAGAATCATTAAAACTACATAAACTAGATGCTTCCTTAATTACTCAGCTCATTTTTTTCCTATACAGCTTACAGTAACTTCACAAAGAAAGGATACCAACATTAGAGACAACCACATAGTTTGGCTTTTCTTTCAGCTCAAGAGATCCAAATGTTTCTGGAGCATGTATATAATAGTTGACATACATAATAACAATTTATACTGATAATGGCAATAATACCGCTAACATTAATTGAAAGTTTAATGTGTACCAGTTAGCGAAGGGCTCAAAGTTTAATAGCTTTTCTGTACATTAAAAAGATTGTCCCAGGGTAATTCCCGTAAGGGATATTCCTTTTACTGTTATTCTGGAAGCGTGAAAAATGCCTCATTTGCAAGTAATAATTTAGTTCTTTAAATGGCAGCTGTGGATAATGAAAAATGGTTTTCTAGGACTGAAAGCACAACGCATTTCTTTATTCAAGAGTGTCACTGCCAGTCACATAGACAAGATTATACCTTCATTGACTGCTTTTCCTCTTCACTGCACGTGGTCATGACTTTATGTCCAGATTTAACAAGTTCATCAATAATATCTTTGTGTTTCAAAATTTCCATAGTGAATGTCTGTGAGTTACAAAAATAAAAGATTTTTTAAAAAAGAGAGCATATGAATAAAATGAAAACAATTAGGCAAAGTAGCTGAAAATAACAAGTTACGCTAGTTGAGTCTTGCAAAGTAAATCACGCAAGCACACATTTTCTAGACTAGCAAATGTAGACACAATTGGAAATGTCCTTCACCTTTTGAACCTGCAGCTGAGCAGCAGTCTGGTCTTGCTCAAGCCTGATGTCACCCAGAGACATCAATTTCTTTTCTGTTTCGGCAATCCAGGATAACTCAGCATCAGCCGCTTGGTCAAACTAAACAAAAGATAAATAATTAATCAGCAAGCTTCTGTAATTGGTGCCAGAAAAATACCTATCTACATTACTTTTAAATATCCTTATTACACAAGTGGAAAATCTGAGCTTATCTCTTCATGGCACCCCAAAATAGTTCATAATAATGACTGAAGCTATAAAGAAAGGAGAATTTTCACAGAACAAGTAAACACAAGCTTAAAATATGTTGATTCCATAGCACGGCATTAATGATTTTAGGACACCAAACACTGCTGCCTTCGTTTGGGCAGTCCTAGGAATCTTCTCCTAAGGAGCACCATCCAAATTAAACAGCTATAAAAGTCAAGTCAAAAGTCAATAGTTGCATACTGTATTTCATTCATCTCCTCATCACTTCAACCCATATGAAATGCAGGTATTCTGCTATAGAAGTATATAATTTCTAGCAAAAAGAATGAAACATTTCCATCTATTCAATATCTAGTACTAAAAGTGTATGGACAAAATGTGTCTATGTACGCAGAGTATATTCCCAAAGGACTCGCGTACAATTTTCTACATCTCATTTAATAACATAAGAAAACACATTCAAGAGCATTTTCAAATATTTGAAGGGATTTTACTTTCCTGATCATAAGAGTAATTCATGGTAGAAATTCATAAAGTATAGAAAAATATACAGAAGAAAATTAAAAACTGGAGTTAATACCACTGGTATTTTAGTGAATTTTTCTTCCAAGAGTTGAGAAAGATTTATAAAGGTCTGGGATAATACTGTATAAATAGTTTCATATCCTGCCTTTTCATTTATTATAAACACCACCCATGTCATATTCTTTCCAGTGTGATTTTTAAATAACACCTTTGTATTCTAGCACACTTGGATATTTTCATTTAGGTTCTCTGCATTTTTTTGCTATTATATAAACAACCCTGTAAAGAATATCCTTGTACATAAATCTCCATTGGCATCTCTAATTAGTTCCTTAGGGTAGATTCCTAGACATTGACTACCAAGTCAAAGAGCATGAACATTTTCAATGCCTTGCATCAGATAAACCCCAATGCCTTACAGGGCCAAGCACTTAACCATAAATGAGTAAAGAGGGTAAGTGACACCACCAGCACCAATAAGAAATGGTAACTCGCAATGGTCTCAGTTGGAAGATTCAACAGGGAATGAATATTGGGACTATTCAAATCCGGCACTGCCAGACCTTCTAATTTTTCAAGAGGACCTGGAAATCCAGATGGGGCGGGGGGACAACTAGGTGAGGGGTAAGAAGGGTGGAGATAAGAAACTAGAATGAAAAAACATCAATCTTACTTTTAAAACACTATGCAACATTACACAAACTCATGAGAGGATAAAGTGAAACAAAAATTCATCAACTAATTCAGCAGCTTCAGATGTGAAAAAATAAATCTTCATTAAAAATAAGTGGAAGAGTATTCTATGCATGATTATTAGAAACTGATAGATTATGCTAAGTGAAATACACCAGTCAGAGAAAGACAAATACTGAATGAATTCATTTATATGTGGAATCTAATGGACAAAATAAACAAATAAAAGAGAAAGAAACTCATAGGTACAGAGAACAGACTGATAGCTGTCAGAAGAGGTGGGTGGGGGTCTGGGTAAAAAAAGGTGAAGGGATTGAGCCAAAACAAACAAACAAACCTCACAGACAACAGTGTGGTGATTGGGGGGGGGGGGGCGCGCGGGGCAGGGGGGAGGGGCATGCGGGGAGGAAGAAGAGGGCAGAGCGGGGACAAATGATGGTGGAAAGAAACTTAAACTTGGGGTGGTGAACATACAACACAATATAAAGAGGATGTATTATAGAATTGCACATCTGAAACTTATATAATTTTATTAACCAGTGTCACTGCAATAAATTCAATAAAATTTCAAAAAACAAGTGGAAGACTCTTCTATGCATGAATTATTAGCTTTAAGGCCATAGACAACGGAATTTAAAGGAAGAACTTCATTATACGATTCACTTAAAGAGCACGACGCCGAGAGACAGTTGAGGCCTTTCTACGTGGTTGCAAATGCTGTAAGAAACCTGAATAAAATTTAACAGTTATGACTTTTTTCTTCTGCTAGTTTCTGAAAAAATAAAGTGACACACCAACCCTCTCATTTGTGTTCATGCTATCTTTAGTATTTATGTGACAGTCCTAATGAAGAAAATCAGACTGTTAATGTTCATGTTCATTTAATACCACATCTCCCTCCCTTTAAAAAAAGGAACCAATGAAAAACAGTGTAATGATACCATCCATCTAAGTTGCCAAAATGGAAAGCTGAAAGTCAAACACTGTTTCTTTAACCAGGCAAATATTTGCTCTGCCGAAAGAAAACAAGACTTCCGGCACAAATTTCCCTTCTGTCTTTTAATTTTTTTTTGCATTAAATTGACAAATATTTATTATTTAGCAACAAATGGAATAGCCACAGGGTCTACATTAAGCAATTTACAGTAAATTAAGGTATTTTATTCAGGCCTATGACTTTTAAATGACTACTAACATGTCTTTCTAATGAACCATAAAAACTGCTTATTTTACATGTGAGCAACACAAGAGCACGATTACTGGACAAATGTCAATGAATTTGCCTACGACTCATACAACTAGTGAAAATTGACTTCAAATAAATTGTAGATAATCTTAGCATCCATAACTGAATACTGGGAAATATTTTAATAGCATCATCAGTGGAGTCTAGTCATCAGCTTTAGCTACTGTAACTTCTATTATAGTTGAATGAGCATTTCAGAAATTTTCTACAAGTTAGAGAAAGATGTTGCAATTGGCTACCTCTTAATGTTCCTGAAAAACATTCTCTAAAACAGTAACAGCAAGGCTTCTACTGAACACACTGAGTGCTTACCAGGTATTATCTCCTTAAATCCTGACAACAATTCTATAATGTGGGTACTGCCATTAACTCCATTTACAGCTGAGAAAACTGAGGCAGAGAAAACTCAACTGAGTTACCAGAGATTACTCAGCTAGTAACAAAGGTTGGATCTGAGACTTGAACTCGAGGTGGTCTGATTTGACCCCTCAAGGCTGCAGTCTTAGTCACCATGTTTTATCCCTTGTTCTCCGGCTCTGGGAACTAAAAATACTCATGAGATTTCATCAAAAATGGCTCCAATACCACAACCATTAATAAGTGGTAGGTTTTAACTTACTATTTAAACACTTCTCCAATCTCTGACAAATTGCTTTCATACTTATCTAGAAAGTTCCTCTTGAGTGGAGATGGAGGTTTCAGAAAGACAGTGATAGGAAACCTTTACCTCAAGGAAATCCTTTCACTCCCTGTCCCTGGTGAGGATCTTATCACTTTCTTTTGATTAGCACTTCCTTCCATTTTGCTCCATATTATTAATAACACAGCCCATAGTCTCCCACCCCCAACACCTGGAGAATCTAAACAAACCTCACTTCCGTGGGGGAGGTTTCCTTCTAGCTCTTTAAAAGAAATAAACAGGTGTTATTTTTCTCCAAGGCTGATTCCTAATGATGGAATGAGCTGTTTATTTTAATTGCACTCAAATCACCAACACATGTGCCTTTATAGTGGGGTTACGATGGCCCTGCTAAAATAAACTAGGCAATCAGAACTCCCAAGGAGTGCCTGGGATTTTCGGTCCCAGAGACATGGCCGCATTTTAGCAACTTCTGACAACTGCACATTAATAAGAGGCAAATAACTACAAACTTCTCTGAGGTTTAAACAATCCCAGTAGTCAGAATTCAGGCCAGAAGTTTGTACATTTTTTAATCACAAGTGCCTTTCCTCATTTCCACATGGCTCATTTGGTTCAATTTGCAATTCAACAAAGAAAGTAATGAAGATATGTTACTCTGTGTAGTTTTAACATGCAACTATACTTACTGTTTATAGCGCAGACAATGGTATTCAATGTCAGGAGGTAGATGCCTTGTTGTGTTTGTTTGTTTATTTATTTGTTTTTGTAATAAAGCTCACCCTACTATTTACTAAGCTGCCTTGGTTCACCTCCAATGTTTCCTAGAAGTCATGAATGAGCCAATTCTTTTTTTAAAAGAACATCATCTTCAGAATATCAATGCCTACAAATCTGTAGAGTCAGATTTCGGGGCTTGCTGACTGGTAGCACTGAATGTATACAGTCCTCATTCATTTGCCCATAATGGAGGCTGTTCAATTATTACCCAAATAGTAAAGGCCAACACTCAAATTTGCTTAGGCTCTTGACCCTATGATTTCAAAATTTAATGCCACATCTCTTCAAAACTGCTACTGTGATAAAGGATTAACATGGAAAATCTAACCATGCCAAATCAGAACTTTTTAAACAACTTTCACAGGGTAGTTACAAAGTAAATGTAAATTTAAAAACATCTCTATGCTCCCTTCTGTCTTCAAAGTTTTATTCTTTTCGATGTTTTTTCCTGGGCATATTTCAAGTCAATATTTGAAAAACCAGTACACTCCGTGATAGTGGCCTGACAGCTTGCAAAGTCCCTAAGCATTTGTTGAATTCCCAAATGTAGGTTGTAACGTTATGAAAGTGATAGATCTGTATATAAACAACTTTAATGTGAGTAAAAGATGAAATACCTTAAGGGAAATTTGCTTGGAAAACTGGTATTCAAAATCTAGTTTAATTTGGCCAGGTTACTCTATAAATTTAAAAATCTCCAAGTCATGTTAAGGCACATACCCTGACCCCAACACCTGTGGGTGTGGTTACTTTGTAGGTAGCAATCTGGGAGGGCGTGATGTTAATATAACAAAGTGTGTGTGTCGAGAGACATGTCTAAAAGATGGACTGTGGTCAGATCATGTCCATATTTCAAATGGAAAAGACAAAATGGTAGATGATTGGTTTATACATCAAAAAACAGGTAGTAACAAAATACGAGGCTAACATCAGGTCTGCAGATTTCTTTCATCATTCCCTTCCTGTAATCAGTGGTATACTATCATTGGTTAACAAGAAAACAAACATTTCAGTACTCTGTAATGTACAGTAGACTGTACTCTGGTCCTAATTCCAAACATCTCTAAGTGGGCAAGGTTGTAAAGTAATTTTGGTGATATATTAGCTCCTTCATAAACTTGAAAATTACGAGTTTAGAAACTACTATTTTGATTGTAAAACTAAAATATCTGCCAAATCAGAAAGACAGGTACCCATTTCATCTTCAACTTGCCTGAAGAGTGAGTGACCTTTCATGATCCTTTGGGTGCTGCGTTCTTGTGTTTCAGAGTCCTTATGGACTGGAAATACCCTCACTGCATACTTCCATTTTGCTGCAATAACAGCACCTTCCTTCAGATTAATGAAGGAGGTGAGAAAATAATGGACCACCCTAAGGATTTTTTCTCCCTAGCTAATTTATAAGGAGGCACTCTGCTGTGGTAACATGAGGGCTGGATGAAATTATGGCCACAGCTCCACCACACACTAACTGTGGGGCCACTCGCAAGTCTTGGAACCACTTCCTGCACGTGCTCCTCCCAGCTCAAAATTGTGTGTCTGTCTGGCCTTACTGGGAGTTTCTTTTCTCTTTTCATCCTTTTCTTTTCTTCCATTTTTTTTTGATGACTTAAGTGCACTTTACTGGTTTTCTTTATTACTGGAAATATTTCATTGGGCAAACTCGCAGGCATTTCAAAGGAATGCACATATAAATACAGAATAAATACAGATGAACAACCAGAAGATGTTAATGGCACTGAGATTAGCTATAGGACCTACTGGTACTAATATTCTTCTATGATACACATTTTCTCTCTCAAAAGGAAGGCTGGAAGGACAGAGACCACACTGTTTATGTATTCTTTCTCCCATGAGTTTTTCTGTATTCTTTCAGAAAATCTTAAAATTTTCTGTAAGGATTTTATCAAGAAAAAAGTAACCATTATTTTCCTAAGGGATATATACTTTGGGTTCTAGAAGACATATACCGACCTGGTTATTATTATTTTTAACTTTGGAAAACACTGTAAAGCCTAGAATAGTTAATGACCTTGGCACATATTAGAGCTTACTAACCAACATGAGCTCAACCTGTCACCTTGCCCTTATTACCATCCTGCTGCAATGAACTAACCGACCATAGTTAACTACTCCCAAGAGTACAGAATATTTGTCTTGCTATTTATAGAAGTCTCTAGGGCCAATTCTAAAATGTTAGAATAAATTTTGGTGAAAAAAAAATGTCAGGATTCTCAAATATTTGAATAAACTTCACAAAGTAACACACTTATTTTCCTAGAATAATGAGGCACATAAACTCCTCCAAACTTTGAAAACAGTCATGAAAATACATTCCTCAGGCATGAATGCCCTCCCTCACAAAAATTTCAGAGGCAGGCTTTCGGCTGTCATTGTATTTCATCAGCTTTGGTGATTCCAGAGCACTGGAATGAGCAGTGAAGCATTACGCTTCAAAACTATATAAATAACACTTTTACAGCAACCTTAGAAAATTAATTTTGGATGCTCCCACACAATCTGCTTGATTTGTGTTTCTTGCTTTTGGCTTGTACCAGTAGAAGCTTAGCTCTGTACCTTCTCGAGCTCTGCTCTGAAGCTCACTGTAATACCACGCTAACCCCAACACAGAGAGTTTGCAATAAAAGACTGATGACTTCATGTAAATATCCGGAGATTTCAATAAAAGCTAATCAAAACATGCATTATAAACTTCTATCTCCAGGACCCCCCTTGCTGCCCACAATTTTCCGAGGGAACTGTGACTAAGAGCGGACTGCACGTAACATCTCTGGAACCACAGCTCTGTGTGAGTCACAGATAGGTCAGAAACCATCACTTCCCCTGTTCCGTCACCTTCAGAAAAACCTCTGCCAACACAACAGTTTCCTTTTTGGAAAGAATACGGCCTCTCTGTGCCATGGCTGCATGGAAACGAACAGTTAATACCGACTTACATGATTGCTCAAAATATCAACTCCCATGCAGATTAGACTTGGCCAATGCATAAAATTAACATTAGCGATATGCATATATATGTACACAAAAGGCTTTTTGTTTGGAAAGCTGGGTTGATCTTCCCAGGGGCTGATTTGGTAAGGACAAGTCTGGGAAACAATGAGGCAGATGGCTGTTAACAATGTACAGATTAGCCTTGCCCTGGCACTCAGATGTCAAAGTAACCCAAATTCTTTTCAAACTCCTCCTTTCATTTTTGAAGCAGAACAAATGAATGGGAACACTATTAACAGGAACCTTTGTTCAGGTAAAGGCTCTGGGAACTGGAGAAAATTTATTGCCCAGATAACAAACCACTTGCCCCTACCTGCTGTGACCTCAGAATGGCAGCATCGATCTCCTCCACCTTCTGAGTGATGGTGTCGCTCACCAGTCGGTAGCGCTCATTGTCCTCGGCCACCATTTTTTCAAGTCCTTCCCTCGCCCGCCACGGTACCAGTTCCAGTAATGCAGTGCTCACTTCGTTAAGGGAATCCAGTAAGGCCTTGCTGTCCTTAGCTTCCTTTTTCAGCTCCTGAAAACAGAATTAAGAAAACATACAAATCTGTGGGTAATGCTTATATGTTTGAACAGTCTTTTCCTTTAACCGTCCTGGGGGCTACAGTCACCTGCAGGCCAAGCATGCGATGCACTGGCCCCCTTAGTCACAGCTAAGTTCTGTAAACCTTCATTATTTAAAGCAAAAAGGAAAGTGTTTCCTGAAAAGTTCTGAAGAACAATTCCCTTGTCAACATGGCAAGATTTTATCTTAGAAATTTAATATGTTTAAAAATTGGGAAACAAAAGCAAGCAAGTTACGTATTGCTCTTTGCTTTCTCATAACCTCTAAGCAATCTGGTACCAGAAAAGTAAAATAAAGAGGAAAGTCCAAGCCAGCATCAAGTGATCCTCAAAATGAGGACACACGGGCTTTGAATCATCCCAGCTGAATCATTACAGCTCAGCAAGACTGACCTCACCGACTCCCCTCCCCCCATATGACAACACCACAGGGATGATAAAAACAGGCTGATATCTCTTAAAAGAAAAGTGATTAGCATGGTGGAAGATCACATTTGCAATATAATTTTAAAAGCCACCTCATATTTATGCATCTGTCTCATAAAAATATTGTTATTCTAACCAAATTATGTGTATCTCTGGAAACAATGATCCTTTTCCTTTATTTTTTTCTGTTTTCATCATTCTGTCTCTTGTGTAGTGTAATAAACTATATGACTCTGAAAACAAATTATAATACACTGTTTTCATCTTTGGTTCCTAAAAGTTTAAACAGTTGATTGGCTGCCAACTTCTGTTGGGTCCCCGCCCACCAAGGCATCCTTCAGCATATTAGTAATGACACAAGAAAGATACCATTTCATTCCTGTGTGAATAAGACTCCCTAAAAGATAACAAACAGATCCAAAATGCATAAATCAGAGCGTACTTTTTGTCGCACTTGTGCTTGGCTTGCAGCTTCTCCCTTCAGAACCTGAGTTTCATATGAAAGTAATTCCACCTCCACTTTGTCCAGCCAGGTACAGAGCTTTTCGTGTGTGGAGTGCAGCCGGCTTGCAAGCTGCAGGGCCTGTTCCAGAGTCTTGGCTACATCCGCGCTCAATTTAGTAATGTCTTTGTACCTTGCTTTAATGGCTTCCAATTTATCTTGAATTATTAAAACTTCATCACCTAAAATTTCAAAGGCATGGTAAAAGCTCATGAAAGGAAAGAAGGGGGAAGGAAAGGGAGAAGGGTTTCTTCAGATATTATTACATACTGATGAGATTGTCTGGGGGGTGAGGGGGAATAGGAGGTCTTGGCCAGGTAGCTCAGTTGGTTAGAGCATGATCCTCATACACCAAGGTTGTGGGTTCGATCCCTGGTCAAGACACATACAAGAATCAACCAATGAATGTACAAACAAGTGAAACAACAAATTGATGTTTCTCTCTCTCTCTCATCAATAAATAAAAAAATAAACAAGTTGGTTTGGATATGTTTCCTTGGTAAATTTAAGCATGAAAACATGAAGCCTGGGTTTAGCCACAATATGAGTCACAGAATGCAGTCTATCTTAATATTTAAAAAATTTTCCAGCTTACGTGCTCATCTAGAACAACTGCCCCCCACAGGTGGAAAACCAATGCAACTCCACCGTGAGCTTCTCCCACCATCTCCTGTGGCACAGTGCTTTGGGTTATGAGTAATACACACAACTTTCATTAAGCACTCAAGTGAGGTCATGAGAAAAACAGTGAGATCGTATTCCCACCCACCCATGGGCTGTCTTCAAACCATTCTCTAGGATAAAGTTTTGGAGTGATACCCAAATGACAAACTTAGTATTTTTCCCCATCCCTTAAATATTTGAAAGCAAAGCAGAATGTCAACTCTGTGATATTTAATTTGAAAGATATCTCACCTGTTGTTTGTTTAAGTAGTTCTAAACCATTTAGTAACGCCTGATCTACATTTTGTTTTCTGAGTAGTATGTCCTCTTGCAGAACCTAAAATGCAGGTACCATTTTTATGAGGGAAAAGAAAAATTAAATAAGTATTAACATTAGTCAATATTAGAGGTCTTTAACTGGGTATTTTTGAGATATATCAAACACCGCATTTTTAAATGTATGCTGTTGTTCCCACATTTACCCTCCTCTTTCTATCACTGTGGCCCATGTCCCAGGTCTATCTACCACAACTGACAGCACTCTCCCAGTCAGAAAATACTGAGGGCCCTTGGAAAATGAGCTACATGGAGATACGGGAGTACCAGTCATCATACACAAAAATAAAATAAGAAAGGAAGGGAAAAGTGAAAAACCCCGCTATTGAATACATTCAACCTCTTCTTTAAAGCAACTTCATTAAAAGCAATTTGTATACAAAGGCAAAGTCTTTCCTGAGTATAGCAAGAGACCTAAATCATAACAAACGCAACATAATACAGAAATAAGAAAGACCCAGAAAATAATGACAACCAAAATGAAAATACAGTAAAATAAAACAAAAGAAATCAAAATACCCGAAGTTCAGACTGCTGCTCCCACAGGCCCTCAGTGCTGTGGTCCTGGACTGAGAGCCTGCTCAGTTTGCCATGTACTTCGTTCAGCCATGTCATCAGCTCCACTTCATCTTCCCCAAAAATCTTAGCATTACACAGGGCCTGCTGGAGCAGCTCAGACCTGCTGTGACTCTTCTCTTGAATCTCAATGTACCACACTTGAGAGGAGTCTAATTTATTCTGCACCATATCTTTATCCTCCCTGGAGCTCAAAACCTTTAAGGACTGGCCAATGCTAACAGCCTGGTGTAAATGTTTATTGTGATTGATGATGTCATCTTCTAAGGCCTAAACAAAGTTTACAAAAAGAAAAACAAACAGAATGGACAGATAAAAATGAAAACAAATAGAATGAAGAGATGACATTTGAAATGAATTTAATTAGCAATGTCCGTAACACAACAATACGTAACTCAAATTTATGGCATAAAACCATGAAGGAAAAGGAGGACCAACTCTTTCTAACATGCAATGGGTATCTTACTTTGTGCTGTGCAATTTGTTCCTCAAGTTTCGATGCTTGGGTTCCTATGGGCTCACAGTTGGCCAGCCTCTTTTCTATGGTCGTAAGCCACTCATTCAGCGGTTCTAAGGTTTCGTGAAATAGCTGTGCCACCACCGAGATACCTTCCAACTGACGATTCCTACAAATGTGCCAAGATAAAGGTCCCTTAGGGATAAAGACTGTGTGAAATACTCAACACAAATCTGCACTCATGCTCCTGAATTCTGTTCTGAACATTTTTGTAGGCAACTGCTAAGGTTAGACTCAAAATCTGTCACATTTAAAGAACATGTTAAAATAGTTTTATTAAATAAAATTAAAGTTAAACAACAGAATAACCTTGAATGACTGAATCTTAATAGAAGTCCTAAGTAATTAGGTTATAATACTTAACAGTTTTATAATAACAACAGTAATGTTATAACAACAATATCATCAATCATAATGACAATAAGATATTATATACTGAACACATTTATTTTAGGGGAAAAACGCAGAGGGCATCTCCCATGGGAGCCAGGGCACAACGTCCTGGGGCATCAGAGGGAAGGAGTCACCTACTGACACATTCTAAAGGTCAACAGGAAGACTTCAACCTCCTTAGCAGCACCTTATTCTATGGTCCTGGACCTGTAATTAATTTGACTCCATCATTCAATTTTTCTTTTCATAGTTTTGCTCTGAAGGAGGTAGGAATTTATGGAAATACCCATTCTGTTCAGTGGTGCATCTATTTTCAACCCAACAAGTCTATGTGGCTACACGTCCATGCGGCTGCTACTCAAAACTGGTCAACGGAGAGGATGCGGAGATGTAATAAAGAGGGGCTGAGTGCAGAAGCCCAGCAGAGCCATTCTCTAGGCTTCCTGGCCTCCATATATGTTACAGCACCCTTTCACCCACCCAGTGTCCTACCTAACTCCTACTCCTCCTTTACCAGCTTAGCTGCCACTTCCCTGCCCCAGGACTAGGTTCTTCCTATTGAATGCCCTCACAGAACCTTGTATTTTTGCTTTGAAATTGTTTCACATTTGTCATTACTTTTCAATTGCTATAAACCCCTACTAGGCCCTGAGGACACTGCTCATCCCTGTATACCACGGCCAAGTCTGTGCCTGATACATAGAAGGCAGGCGATAACTATGAAATTTACAAATGAGAAAATTACCCCTGAGAGAAATGTTTTTTCTTAAAGAGTTGGGGTGTGTCTGGTGACTCCAAGACACAACCATTAGCAGAATGAGAAGAGAGGCACCATAGCCCTTGCTATCTATGTTCACATACATGTTAAACACAGGAAAATAACAAGGAAAATATTACTAAAATACAAAACATCAGTATTAAAGCCACTGCTACTCTTCTAGATCGAAGGTAGCATTTCAGTTACCTTGTTTCAGCTTTATTAAGCAATGCCTCCCATCTACTGTCCAAGAGACTCAGTTGTTTCAAAATCTTCACTTTATCTGCAGGTTCTGCTGTGGCAGCGATTTTTTCTCCTTCTCGTTTGATCACCTCCACAGTAGACTTGCGGTCATCCAATAATCTTTGCAGAAGCTGGAAAGAAAACAAATACACATGCAAAAAACTCAAAGGAATAATTTTACCAACACAAAGGAAAATATATTCTGGCAATTTTGCTATGTGACCAAAACATATATTTTGCATGGATTCACATACAAAAGGGTCTGAAAAGTAGTATTTTAAAAACAATTCATTTTGCTTAATGACTCATTACTACTCTGTCAGATACTGTGATAGAGGCTTTTCGGATAGACAAAACCAATATTGATAAGGCCACCAAACCATTCATTTTTAATTTTTAATGTAAAATAATGGCATAGAAGGTGCTATTTAGGATAACTCCACTGCACTGAGAGTGACAAATCCCCATCATTGTAATGAAATGGGAATGTTCTAAACATTGAACAATGATCTGTCCCATTAAGACAAAACAGATTATTATAAATCATTAATGTTTTCCCAACCGTTTCCGATGTTAAACAATCCAGTATAGACAGCGAAGTTGAGACTCTGACCAAGTTCACAAGCTAGTGAGGCAAAAATTAGAGGCTCTCAGCTCTTTTAACTAGGTGGGGCTAGCTCCTAAAATCCTTCACATGGATGAAAACTAAAAAAGAGCTTTTAAATACCACTCCCAAAGGGATAGAGGGTGGAACATGTGAGAAATCTCCAAAGCTGGCTAATTAAGACTAACATTTTAGGATTTAGCAGCAGAAAACAATACATTCAATCCTCAGAAAACATTTGGAGAAGCCTGGAATGGAATGTCAGTATCGGTAGCCAGAGCTCAGGATTCCTTTGCTCTTATCTCATCAAGTATTTCACGAGCAAGTGCTATCCGTGCACAGGCGCCCTGTTTACTAACAGCAATGAGGAGGCACAGCGCACAAAATACTACTTCCCTGTGTTCTTCATCTGACCCTTACTGATAGTTAAGGAGTACAGACATAGATAGTTACCCAGAAGTAACAAGCTAGAAGACTGTTCACTCACTTTCATTTCAAGAGCAAGACTACCAAGGCAGGAAGTAGAGGACCTTTTTTAAAAAGAAGAAACATAAACTTTCTTGACACAGGTTAGAGTCATTATAAAATCAAAGTCTACCAGGTGGTTTAGGCAGTAGAGAAAACTAATTAAGTAGATTACTTTCAATAAACCTTATTTTTTATTTATTTGTTTAAAAGATTTTATTTATTTATTTTTAGAGAGAGAGGAAGGGAAGGAGAAATAGAGGGAGAGAAACATCAGCATGTGGTTGCCTCTCATGCACCCCCATCTGAGGACCTGGCCTGCAACCCAGGCGGGTGCCCTGAGTGGGAATCGAACTGGTGACCCTTTGGTTCTCATGCCCACACTCAATCTGCTGAGCTACACCTACCTGGGCTCGATAAACTTTAAAAGAAAAGCATCTGGCAATGCCGAAAGCAAAATCAGAAAAGAGGTTTTGTTGGCGAAACACAGTTCAATAACTCTGGGAGAATTACAAAGGTTTAAATTAAATTGTGACTGGCAAAAATTATATTATTATGTATAAAATAACATTTTGAATATCATGATATACATTATTTTATTACATATAATATACATTATTCAAAAATCGCACAAAAGCAATGCACAATTTCCCATCACGTTTCTTTAACTCTTATCTCTAAATCTATTTCTAATAGGTTGATTTGCCAATATACTAAAATCTTCTAAGTATTGAATACTGAAATTAAATTAAGCCTCTTAATCTATTCCCTCCTTTTTAAGGTTTCACCCAGGAGAAAACTTACCAATGTGCTGTGGTCTGGGACCCCCATATGTCCTTTCAGGTCACGGCTGACAAATGGGCACTGACGACATCACTAAGCACTTCCTGTCTGAGCACCACCGTTAGGGACACCACACCGTATGTGTGGTCCCAAGTAGTCACCACCCCTCTAACAAGTGTGCCTTTCCAACATGGTCCTGACTGCGTGTCAAAAGACACAACTGCTCATTCTTTAGCATATGTGAATCAAATATTTTTCTCTTTAGTACAGGTTGAAACTCCCCATGTTTAATCTACACAAAAGGCTATTTCATGGGGATCAACCTAATAGATAAGGGAACAGTGGTATTTCTGTCCTAAATGGCCTTTGCCGTGAGTGAGGGCTTCCTTGGCCACTCTGTTTAAAATTGCACACGTACAACCCTCCACTCGAGCACTGGATGTCCCTCATTCTTGCTACCACATTCTAATCCGTATCTCGCTTCCCTTCTTTAGTTATCACTTGCTAACTTATCACAACGTACTTATTTACTTTACTGCTTCTCTCTCCTGTTCCTCCTTTCCCATGAAAATGCAAACTCAGTGAGGAACTCTTATCATTTTTATTTGGTGATGTATTTCTAGCACCTGGAACAATGCCTGATCCACAGCACCTGGTTCCATAAATATTTGTCAAATGGCCAACAAATAATGTCTAGAACATCAACAACCAGTTAACTAGGCTATCCTATTAACATAAATAAAGAGTCACAAGTTAAATTTTTACTCTCATTAATATGGAACATGAAACACAATACAAAATGATCGCTACCTTACCTTTTGCTCTTGTATCTGGGCCTTCACCACCTTGAACTCGGCTGACGGTGGCTTCTGATTGGCCACGAGCTCCTCCGTGTCCACCATCCAGCTGAGCAGGGACTCCAGGGCATCCTGGAACCTCCCACAGTGCAACAGGGCCTCCTGCAACTGTGCTGCTCTCTGAGACACCTGCCAAGTTCCAGTTTTTCCAACTTATTTACTTGCTTGAAATAATGAAAGTTGCCCACTAGCCACCAGTTTTCATGTTTCTCTCCCCATCTGGTCACAAGTTGTCTTTTCCTTTTTACTTAAAATCTACCCAAAGCACTGATCGTGGACAGGACAGAGGTAGAAAGGTGTGAAACTTTAGCAAGTCAGCCAAGAAGATAAGTTTACCATCATAAACAGTCAATGTGAAAGAAAAAATCTTTGAGATTTTGGGAATATCCAATGCCTTTATGACTGGCAGTGAATGATCCAAATATTTTAAGCTTATGGAAAGAAATAATGCATTAGTCATTTTCATTATTATCCCTGGGGTCCATTTTTTATTTTCTGCTGATGAATATCAGGGATAATGATAAAATGACTAAGACTGAAAAATAACTATTACAACAGAGAAAGTCAGAATTATGTTTTGCTAGGCAAAATAACTATGAAGTATCCAATTAAATCCTGCTAGCTCCCAGCTTGGAGTCCTTTTCTAACAGACCAGGGGCTTTGTCTGCTGGGAAATGGAGCCTCTGCGTTGCACAACACCCTGCTGCCCTTCTCATAGAGCTTCTTCCTCTGGACAAAGACAGGAGTTGGCAAGGTGTTTTAAACACATGGCATTATGTTTTCACCTGACACTGCATTCCAACTGTTTTTAAAGAGCAGTGCAATATTAATCAGACTTTAAAGAATGATAAACGTGAGTTTGAAGCCTGACAATGCTAAAGATTTCGATGCAGCGAAAATTCGTATATAGGCAATACCCACTGCCACCAGGTAGGGTCTGCCATCCAGTACCAGTTTCCTGACAATCCACGCCGTGCCAAGACCCGCCACCATATGTCTGCATTATCTCTTTAAGATAGCAGAGCATTATTTCCCAGTGTTTTCCCCCATGGGTATATTCTTTAAAAGGTTGGATCTATACTTGACAAGTAAAATAACACATTGTATACGGGAAATGTATTTATACGTTTTACGTTGACTGGTAGTAGAGCGCACAATATAAACTACCCGCAAACAATGTGATAATATTTGGTGTTAACAGTTCATAATGAGGGTGGAGAACCCTCAGTCCAGGTCTGACAGACAGGCATAGTTGTTCTCTTGTCCCCTGCACAGTGTGACCTATTATATGCAGCGTGAAATTAGTTGCTGACCTTTGAAAATGAAAAGATTTCACATAAGGAGTGAGATTCCCAGGTTCTTTTGAAAGTAAGTGGGACAGCAAGCACAGACCCCTCCACAGCAGAGACCTGCTGGAGCTAAGTAGCTTCTGTGCCTTCAGAGTGTGTGGTATCCCAATACAGGACAATGTCAGGGGCCACCTGCCACCACACCTGTGCTATTGTGCGTCTATCGCAGTCAAGATAATGACAGGGAGAGGCCCTGTTTCATCTGGCTGGATCCCTTCATTTATGTTCCCTAATGAGCTCTGTAGGCACCTGAGTTTGGGCCATCCAGTTTACAGAAATATAAAATGTGGGCATGTTAAGGAAGTCTGGCTACTGTAAATATGATTCATACTCACAACAAATGCCAGTGAAAAATAACAAACAGAAAAGACAGTGAAGAGGATGAGAAAACTACCTTTTTATTGAGAGTCTTCCACCTTGTGTTGACATCATCCAGGTCCCGCTCCAAACCCTGGGTGCTGGTGCTATTAGCAGCACTCTGAATAAGGCCCTGACCCAACCAGTTTACTTCTTGCTGTTTAACCAGCAAGGGTTCAATCTCTTCTTTTTGGAATACCTGCAGTTGGAAGAGCAATAATCATATGACTGATATTACCTAAGAACCAGCAAATATAAACACTTATTCAATGATAAGATAGCAATGATTGGAGATAAAGATAATTCCTGTTGCCTGTTTATGTCATAGCAACCTTATTAATAACAGCCAGAAAGCAAACTAAATATAAATTCATAATACTTATTATCAAAACTATTTAGGAATATTAAAGAGTAATAGTTTGGGTGCATTTAATCATATTACCTATAAAACCAAAAAAATAGTATATGTGTCCTTTCTTTACTGATTTATTATCATAGCACTAGAAATTGCCTATCATTATGGTATAACTATAATGCAAAAATGTATGAAAAATGTAAAGGAACAAAGTGATAAGATGGGCCCAAGCTAAGCCTAGTTACTGGGCAAGGACTCTTAATAGGCTCTTCTGAGAATGCCTGCTGTTAGCTGGCACTAAAGTCGGAGACTCAAACTGGATGTGAGAACCACTCACAAGATGATGAGGTGAGCCACGATGCCAATCTATGGCTTGCCAGAGGGGACAAAACACAGGCACAGGAAAAGAAAATGATATAGGCTGGCCCTGCAGTAGCATGGATGCCTATACATCAAGCCCCCTCCATGTCTGTCAGGATGCCAATGGGCTTGCAAGAGGCATGTAGACCTCCTGCCCGGACCTGATCACACACAGGACCAGCCAGTGACTCTGCCTTCACCGTCAGCAGCTTTCCAGACCCACCTGACCCCTATTCCTCATCCCACCCAACTTATGGTCCCCAGTTGCCTGTAACTGTCAAAAGATCTAATGTGTTAGAGCAAAATGCAAGTTCCATGAAAGCAGAAATTTCTGTTGTACTTAAAACAGTTTCATGCCCCAGACCCACCACAGTACCTAGCATGCAACAGGTACTTGATAATTATTTGCCAAATGAACATCAGTACAGAAAAATAATATTTATGTCTTGGAAGGAATGACATCCACCCCTTAACAGATAATATTGGGGGTAGATCAACACTTTCAGAGATAATACAAATGTTTCTAATGAAGGGATTGAAGGATGCCATAAAGAAAGTAAGTTAATTTAGCCTGGAAGGAAAGTTTCAGCTAAGGTAAGACAAGGTTTGGAGCTCTGAGTCACTAAACAACAGGGCACTACATAAGTATCTCAACAATTCAAGAAGTAAGCAATCAAACAGAATGTATCAAAATATAACAAAGGCAAATATCAAAACAGTACTTGATAAAATTCAGGCATGGTGTAGAAAATAAGTTTGAAAGCCGCAGCAGCTGGGAGAGACAAAGTCTCCAGACTCTGCTGGCACAAAGCCCAAAAAGCAGGATAATCCTGTGTTATTGTATGAATGAGTAAATTAGGAATAGCAAACAAATAAATGACCCTTTCCTCCAGAAGTCTCCTCCTATATAGACAATTTCACACTGGAGAATTATAGCTATATAGCACAACCATATATAACAAGTCAACTACTCATAACCAAAGAAATTGTAAGAATTCCCCAAATAACTGAGAAAAAAGTAAGTTTTCATAACTTTTTAAAAGGCATCAATTTCCTTTATAAGGCAATAGAAAGTTAAGACAAGGTGGTGAAAATAGAACTTGGTGCTGTATTATGATTCTATTTCTTTTCTATACCACTTCCTAAATTACTACTTCTAGGAATGAATAGCTGGGGATATGTTTCACTACTCACAAAAAAAGAAAGAAAAAAAGAAAAAAAAGTCAGCAGGTGAGGGCAGAGACTGCTACATTTTTAAATGCAAGAACTTTTCTGGCATATAAGGATTCAGAGGAAAGTTCTAGTCTCCCTCTTAGAGAATTTTCAGGACAAAAAAAAAAACAACAAACACAAAACCCTAATAAAATGTTGTAGTAAATGGCCTTAACCTCTTACACCTTGATTTTAAAGAAATTAATTTTAGAGTTGCATATCAAGTAGATCTAGGGAAGTCTGTCGTAATTTTCCAAAGTGCTACAAAAATATACTAAGGGTTAAAAAGGTTCCTAAAGAATCTATATGCTCCCAAGAGCTTCATTACTTTCTGCAAATAAACTACAAGATCCTTTACATAAAGAAGTACTCTGCCAAGCTTTTAAACTTGCGTGCCATTTAAAGTATGCTCAAAGAAAGGGCATGGCTAATGAAAGCAATCATTTCGTGGGCTGAGAAGAGGAACTTTTCTAATATTGTCCAAATTCCTTATCTCTCAGTGGTAACAAAATGTCTATCGAGAGAGTCTTTCCCCCAATCATAAGCACACAAACACAGAGAAGCTGAAAATAAATACAATTGCCTCTGAGGCAAAGTTTACCAGAAGAGCTTAGTAAAAGTACCAAAATAGCTGAACTTCAGTCTAAGTGGGAAGAAAAAAATTACAGGCCTGACAAACAACCTCTACTTATTACGAAGCTGCACCCTTTACTTTCTTACCTCATTCACCACTCACAAAAAGTTAGGAGCTATCAAGATTGCAAAATGCAGCACAATGTAACTTCTCTGTATCCCTGCGCAGAGCTACTGAGAGAAAACTTTCAGCACATTTTAAAATGTCCTTAATTTGAATAGAGTACTTTGTAGACCACAACAATATAATATTGTGTTTGTACCTTTATGACTAAGCCTGTTCAAGCTTAATACATCCAATGTAGCTGCCCTTAAATGGCAGTGTCTTAAACCACAATTTGTGTAAAAGCTGAATGTTAACATAAATTCACAGTGGAGGCATTCTAAGTGAAGGCAAACAGCCTCCATCTGCACAATCAATAGCAGGGCTCTCTACAGCTGGGAACAATCATTCTCAAAACTAGTCCCTAATTACTTTGTTGTAATGATTGACTTATCAATATCTGGCATCTTACAGGATACCAGTCAAGCCCCCACCCCCAAATAAAAGACTGCATATGATCACTATTAGAAACACTAGTGACCAGTTGAGAACAGAAGCACAAACTTCTGGCATTGCAGGGTTTCAGATTTGCATTAGTTACCTGAACTGACTGAAAGCCATTACAGACTGGGTCCAATACTCCTGCCTGGGCCCTTGTTTTTCTGGGAGCTGCTTTCTTTCTCACTGCTACAAATTTCGGGGAGCACGTCATATGGATCACCTCCATCTCCTGGGCAGAAAGAGGTGCCTCCACTTCCTCTTCAGATGCTATGTTGGATTCTTCTGAATTGCATGGTGTTAACAGTATCACATTTTCTTCTAAACTTCTGCTACCACAATCTATGTCATTTCCCCCCAGATCTAAATGCAAGTACCCTAAATCCTCAGGAGAATCTTCCAAAAGTTCCCTACTTTGGGCTGTGATTTGGAATTCTCCCGGTCCACATGTTTTCCCTTCTTCTCCGGTATTAGAAATACACACCTTTTCTCCATCTCTTGGCATAATTAATGGGTCACACTTAACAGTGCTTTCTCTCCAATCATTCTGCAGGCAGCAATTTTCACCAGGGATTTCCCTGTGCCCATTTACACCATTCATTTCCTCTAGTGGAGAAATACCCTGTATAATCATTTTGAAGTTTTCATCAGGGCGGGCACTTCTACATGAAAGCAATGGGATTTTCTGTTCACTGATGGAATTGACAGGAAAAAATGGTGTATGTTGTTCTGCTATATGAATATCTTCAGCAGAAGACAAATTTGTAATGCGTGACTGGTCTCCAGTTAAAATGCCCTGTTTTTCTTCCCTGTCTGCTGGAGGGCTACATAAACCAGAGTCATCCTCCTCCGATGTGAGAGAATTAGTCCCCCACCTGCACTTGCTGGCCTTGGTAACAGCATCTGACGTATCAGTAGGTTCAACAAAGGAGCTTTCACTTTTGTTTACATAATCCATAAAATTGGCTGGGACAAACATTCGCCATGACCGTCTGTGCTCTTTCTTTTCTGCATGAGATTTGGCCTTGGGTAATCCTGTGGTTCGAATGATATCACTATTTAGTTTGAGGGCATCAAAGATCATCCTTTCATCTAGTGTGTGAGCTTCACGACCTCTCAGCTCAAACCCACTGGAAGAAGCAAGGGCACCGTTGGAGCATAAAGAACTAACATCCAGTGTCCTGTGACTGTAGGGTAAGGTCCGATCTGCAAAATGCCTGGAAGACAGGCTACCTTTTGAACCAGAGTCTATCTGTTCATTCAGTCTAACAGTATCATAGATTGACCGCTGTGGGACATAACAGTCTTCGATATTTAGGTCCTCCTCTTCTTCACCCTTCCCTACACATGGGGGATTCTGACGTAAACAGTCTGGTCTGCTGAGTGGCTTCCCCATTTTGTAGAAAGTTAAAGCAAATATTGCAGCTCTTACAACAGAAAATAAGAAATAAGGCAAAGCATCTTTCACAAAAGTATACTTCTGAACAGAACTATAAAGTGTCTTTAGCATAAAGACACATGCTCAAATAATTATACGTCGTAACAGATGAGGTGTTTAAGGTCATCATCAGTGCGTCAGTCTAAATGCAACTATCCTTTTAGCTGGTAGCTTTCAGAGTGATTCTAAAAAAATAAAGTGCATCAAGAACACAGAACAGAAATCTTCCTCCCCCTTCCCCACCCCAAAGTTCCCTTTCACATACTTCAAAACACAAAAAACACACACCCACAAACATACACTTAACAGTGGCTCAAACAATCAGAACATTCCATTGTCAATCCATTTCCCTTTTCAGTCTAATTTTGCATCTGAGATTTCCAGATTAAAATTCCCAAATGACCAAGCATTTTAACAGGCTGACTGTTAATTCAGGCAGAGCTCTGGTTAACTGTAATCCACTTAAACATGGCTTGCAAAACTTCATCTCCTTTATAAATAAACCATCCTTTAGAAACTTAAAAGACAAATACAGGGACCGTGTATTGTTCAGATCAAGGCACAGAACAAATCGTCTGAGAAAAAATAAGTCTAATGCTGTAAGAAAGTTAAAATTTTCTATTACTTTTTTGGGGTAGTAGCTATAAATAATCTGAATTC